CGATACCGGAAAATGTATTATCGACCAAATTATGACAAAATACTGTCATTTCGTTGGTTTATGAAAACGCTACCAACTTATGGAACGACCTAATAGATACTGATGAGGGTCTCAGAATTGGTGGGGAGGAAAGGTTTCCCAGTTTTTTTCAAAGATTTTTCTGAATAAAAGTTTCTGTCTTTTCTTGAATTCAGTTTTATTCTCGCTCATGACTATTGCTTGGTCTATAAAATTGTAGTAGGCTTTACGTCCATTAAATAGGAATAAAATGTTTTTGAAAACATTTGGCTCTCATCCCTCTTCAAAAAAAAATGCAGGATTTTCATTCAACATGTGACTCATTTAGCAAGAGCGCAGAAAAAGTGAGGGTATTTTCACAAAGCCTACAAAGTTTTTCTCCACTCATTTTTTTTTTGCGTGTCTACTAATTGTCCACCACAAAGTATAATTGCCGTCCCAACCCTTAGCAGTCGATTCCACTTGAGTCCATCTACTAATACTCGTACATAGTCGTCATTTCGTAGCTAGGAAACCAATAAAACACCGGAAGAAAGGCAGTGTCGAATTCGGCCCCCACTTTGCTCTCCACTGCCAGAATCTCTCTCATACAACAAATGCCACGTCTCACAAAGCTGTTTCTTTGAATCCTTTTGTGATTCACGCAGGGTTTTCGAGCTGATTTTCTTCGATTTTATCTCTAGCGGAAATATTGAATCATCTGTCTTTACATTTCACTTTTAAGAAGCCGTTCCAACTTCATAAATGCACTACATTCGAATAATATGGGGTACATGAATGCACAGAAAATTATGAAAACTAGAAGAGAAAAATTGTTCGACTTTCGTAGCAAAATAATTTCATAAATAAGAAAGTACTCATGAACTGTCGACTTCAGTATTTTGATTTGATAGGAAATCTTTGGTTTCAAAATGATGGGTCCAGATTGCGACAAATTCTCATGTCTACCTCACAAGTTTCGAGCACATCTATCGTACATAAATGTTATTAATTTATTCATTAATTTGCAAGTACAACAATGATGATGCGGTACAACACAAAGTAATCTTACCAGAAGAATATAACCAACGCAATGAATGGGACAATTTAGCTCCAACTTTCACATCGTTTTCCGGCAATAAGTCTCATGAGAATTTTGGATGACTGAAATTCCTAGAAAAATCGCTAAAAATCGATAGCAATTTCTTAAAGAAGATAAAAAACGATATTCATGTAAATAATATATTTGGTAAATGAAATTTTCGTGATCATTAGTTGAATGTGCATAGATCTATCGTTGAGTAAAAAGTAACTGTAATTTTCCGTTCACACAAACAATAGATTGCTTTAAAGCTGAATTATCTTTCCAACAATGCAAAAATTTTGTTTAAGCTTGACCTTGACAAATACGGCTTTATTATCGTTGATTTTTCTGCTCTTTTATAACTGAAATTCATTTACACTTACTTCAATCCCATAAATAGTCGATCACCTCGGAAGCATCCGAAGTCACTTAGGCTGTTAACGTCTAATCTCGGATACAGTGTAAAATTATGAACTCTCGCAGTCTAGTGAAGGACCATTCTTCGCATCATAGTGTAGACTCAAATCGCGACTGATTGTTGCACCTAAAAATCGTTTTTTGAAAAAGTTTGGACACCTTGCAATTCCTTGCGTATTGCTCTTATATGAAAAACCGAACCTTTCCAGTTCAGTGCCTTCTCGCTTCCGGGTAAGTACAATATAACAAAACCATGTCGAGCATGGTACTATTCCCAGGCGAATATGAAAATCACCCTCTGTTGCCAAAGCGTTGCTGTTTTCTATGATTCTTTAATCTTTCACGATTACTACTAGGGTGCCCTACATTTTTTTACCGTTTTTACTACAAAGTCGTCTTTTGGTATTCTTCCTTCAACTATTTGGCCTAAGTGATTAATCGATGGGGCAAAGCAAGCTTTACAAGATAGCTGTCATTAGTCTGCTCAAATCGTATTCCACGTGAAGTTTTGAGCTGAAATTTGATAGCAATCAAAAATGAACTCCTATCAAAAATCGTACGTCCGTCCAACAAATCTAAAAAATTTCCCATTTATCCTGGCATATGCTTGACACATCAAACATTCAATTGCGCACTTTCCTTATTTTTTGCATGGCCAGAAATAAGTAAAAAGTGAACGGAGTAAAATGGCAAACTCCGCCCTTAGACGTTCTGAGCTCCTCCTACGCACGTGATCATATAGCTCACACATACAGAAGTACGATCATGTATTTGTCCCCTTGTAAGTACCTCAGTTCTCGAGAAATGCTGATGGTCAGGGTAAAAACGGTGAAGAATCATGAGACACCCTAATAGAAGAAGCTTTAAAGGGTATTGAATTCTATGGACGCATCAGCATGCGCAAAATTCTTCGATTTCGCTAACAGCGCTTGGAGTCCGAAATATCAAGGTTCTAATCTGTGCTATAATTGCTGCTGAATCCAGCAACATATGAGGCGGAAGCACTTATGCTGGTCGACCCCACTTAGAATTCGTTATCGATAGAAATAGTTCGTGATCATTCCGTACGCCATCTCCTACTTCATTGACTTTACAAAACAATGGATGTTATCTACTGTATGTTTTATTACTGAATAGGTCATAGTGGGATGACGCGCGTCGCTTCGCACAGAAGTCTTCGTACTTGCGTTGCCACTTTCATTTTTGCTACAAAAGAATGAAAACGTCGACATTTTTTCAGTGTATCACGAGAGGAAGGGGCAAAAGTGTTGCTAAAATCGAGAACCGAATTTAGGCCATTGCTTTCGAAAAATTTATAGGAGCTGCGTCCAGAGTTGTGCTTCCAGCGTCGTGCCAGGGCCGAACGTCAATCAATCAATGAAGGCTGCATGCAGGTTCCAGCACGGCGCTGGCACACCTGCAGCTCTGGACATAACTCAAAAGAGGCAGTATACTTTCACAGCCTTTTGCCAAGTGGCTCAGTTGTGAGAATAGAATCGAGCACCATAACGACCCCTGAACCGTAATGTTACTTTTGAAAATAAACAGAATTCAACGTTTTTGTATCTATCTGTATCTATTTTTGTATCTAGTTTTTACGATCTGCAGACTAATCTGTCATAGGAACATCTGTCATGTGACAAGGTAGAGATGTCAAGTGCCCAAAATTGTCATCCATAACTACACTGGGAAGTCATTATACATTTTATGCAGACGTTCCAGGTACATCCAGGTACACGAAAGTGGAAGAAAGTAGTTTTATGACGCATGAGCTATCGCCTGTCTTTTAGCCTAAAAAGCCAAACTGTATAGATAGCTCTGTTTCAGTTTCAGACTGGGAGATCCGACAAGCTGTAGTGGCGATGGCCAACGTAAACTCTAGATCTGTGAGTTTTTTTTTCGTCAACACTTGTAAGAGATGATTGCTTTCAAAAAAAATATTCATAATGCGTCTAAATATATAGACCGGATTAGAACAGATTGGATTAAGGTGGCGCACTAAATGACGGGCAATTAGCCTCTGATGTCGCGTAAGCGAAATGTGTGCGTCGGCAGCGAAATTTGATTTTTTGCAGTTTTTTCTCAAATCGTGAAATCATACTTTATGCTATATTTTGTTGGCCATTACACTCATTTTTTGTTCATATGTTATTTCGTTTCTTTTTTTTTGCTTCTTGATGCATTCGATCACCTACGTCACATCAAAAGCAAATACGCTCTAGGAGATTTTTGACTCATACAAATTCTATCCAAATTCTATCCAATTCCGCAAACGTCTTTACGCTTGCGCATTGCCTGCGCATTCTCCGCGGCTTCGGCATAGCCAGGAACTTTGATCTAATGTCACCCATTCGAACTCTGAACAATGTGAATTTTCTGATCTGAGCAATAATGACAGCAAAAGAACTTTCTCTAGTAGGTTGTCAAGAAAATAATGTCGGTTTTTATCTGCTTGCTTTAACAAAGCAACAGACTCAACCCAACACAAAATAAGGGGTACTGTTCGATAGAGCAAAGCGAGCCCTACAAGAGTGCATTTATGATTTTGCGCCAAGTTCGATCCACGGAGAGTTCGGACTCAAAATCTAAAGATTTCCGAATGCCGAAAAAATCGAAAAAATTCAGATCTTCGTCCAAACAATCTCTACGGACCTCCCACTCGCTCACGTCAATACTTTTGATGTCTGATATCCATAAGTGCAATTGCTGTATTTTTTCCTTGACTAGAAACTGAGAAAACGAAAATTTCCTTGTTTTTCTCAATGTGCAAAATCCTGGGTACGCCACTGATATGTAGTTCTATACTACCAGCCTAGTTAAGTATAACTGTAGATTTTCAGCCCATTCCAAGAGGTAGTTTTCGAAAAATATCGAATTCGGATTTTTTCTTTGATCGACATTTCTTGAAAAGTACCGCCCGATATAGGCTGAAAACCTACGGTTATGTTTACGTAGGCTTGTGGTATAGAACTACATATGCAAAAACGGCCAGCATTGCTTTGAGAAAATGAGGGAAATTTTCGTTTTCTCACTTTCTAGTCAAGGAAAAAATACAACAATCGCACATATGGATATCAGATGTCGAAAGTATTGAAGTGAGCGATTGGGAGGTCCATAGAGATTGTTTGGAAGAAGATCTGAATTTTTTCGATTTTTTCGGCATTCGGAAATCTTTAGATTTTGAGTCCGAACTCTCCGTGGATCGAACTTGGCGCAAAATCATAAATGCATTCTTGTAGGGCTCGCTTTGCTCTATCGAATACTACCCATAACCCTTTGTTGGGTTGAGTCTGTTTGATTTGTTGAAGCAAGTAAATAAAAACCTACATTATTTTCTTGACAACCTAATAAAAAATCTTTCAAAATATAGTGATACAGGTGACACGCAAAAATATTTCTGCCATAATACTTATGAAGAATCAGAAGAGCAAAAATAGAACACAAATGCGATTAATTTCAGCGCGAAGTGATCTCTATCCATGTCGGCCAGGCAGGCGTACAAATGGGGAATGCATGTTGGGAACTGTATTGTCTTGAACATGGGATACAGCCAGATGGCATCATGCCAGAGGATGAAAGCGTTGGTACGATATGCTTACTGCTTATATTGATTAGGCAGTCAACGAGCAATATTTTAGGCCTAGAAGACGATTCGTTCAACACTTTTTTCAGCGAGACAATATCCGGAAAACATGTGCCAAGAGCTATAATGATTGATTTGGAGCCTACACCCATTGGTTAGTTGATTGCGAGGACTACAGTGGGGTGGAGGAACGAACACCTCAATTAAGTACCGCCTCCGTGGGCTGCTGGTCCTTTCGTCCTACTGTTATGCATTGTGTTGGGACCAATAGTCCGCGGAGGCGGTGCCTAATTGAGGTGTTCGTTCCTCCACCCCTACAGTGCACTGTTCAGCAGATTACGCTCAACATGGTGCCTTTGCGGTGACTACATCTTTTGGGCGAGAACAAAAGCCATTCCCGTAGCGCTTGAATTGGCCATAGAGCTCACATTGCTATTGTTCGGAAACATATGTTGTTGGCAACGTAGGAACGCCATATAAATCGTCAGCCTTACTAGCCTATAACTCTTGGTTACAGATGAGATCCGCACTGGCACCTATAAACAGCTTTTTCATCCGGAACAGCTTTTGACTGGCAAAGAAGACGCAGCAAACAACTACGCAAGGGGTCACTACACCATTGGCAAGGAGATCATCGACGTATGCGTGGATCGAATACGGAAGCTAGTGGAATCATGTAGAGGTCTACAGGTGTGGACGGATAGGATACGTATAGCTTGTTCCATATATAACATATTGCTTTCTAAACAAATTTCCTCGGAGAGAGGGTGGGATCGAAATTTCTGAGGAGCATCCACACCCTCGAAACATGTAATCTTTGATTCAATTGGCTTGGCTGCCGAAAGGCGGGGCTTTGTGACCTGATTGAGGCTAGGCAATAATGAGAGAGCACGCGCGCGGGAGAGGCGCAGACTGCATCGCGGACGCGAGCGGCCTTGATTAGGTCACAAAGTCCCGCCTTCCAGCAACTGAGCCAGTTAAATCAAAGTTTACTCTGGTAACCTTCACTCTGAGCGACATAAGATAACACAACCTTCCTGAGAAGGAAAATTTGTCTCGCAAAATTCTTCCCTTTGGCCTGCGAGCCTGCGATTTAAAATGTCCCCAAAAGGAAGGCTTCAAACTTTGCGGAGCTTTTACTCGGTTCTCAGCAGCGTCTTTTGCTTTCTTACAAAGGGGAAGGAGGTCTGTTTGGTCGAAGTGGCCTTTCTCACATGAAAATGATACTATATTGAAGAGCATCGAATGCCGATTCCAAATCTGTCTTGGCTATCTGCCAAGTATCTCCGTACGTCAATTATGAGCGTTCGAATTGAAAATTGAATGCATAATTAGCACAAATTCGTCAGAATAGCTCAAATGGTCCAACGTTGATTATCAGAGCACTCCAGTTGAAGATTACTTTTTTTTCGAAACAATCACACTCAACGCAGCTCTATTTAAGAGCTGAAAAACCGTAACATTTGATTTTACCTAGATTATGCGTTCATTTTTGCACCAAAAACATTCATACCCTTCGATTCAAAGAGATTGGCAGACGGAAGGCGACCGCTCGCGCCCGCGATGCAATCCGCTTCTCCCAAATGTGCTCTCTGATCATTCCCTAGCCTTAATCAGGTCACAAAGCCCCGCCTTCCAACCGCCAAACCAGTTGAATCAAAGGTTATGTCGGCGTGCAGAGGCTCTTGGCAGATAATGGAATCAGATTCGGAAACGCCTTCAATGTTTTTCAAAGTTGTAGAGCTCATTTGGAAAGGCCACTTACACTAATCGCAACTCCCTTGTTAGTAGAATCTTTCTCTTCTCTAACCATTTTGAACAATCTTCACTTTTTATGAAGTACAGGGCCTCCGAATTTCATTTTTGAGGCTCAGTCTTCAGACTATCGAAGGTATAGGAGCACCTGTCAGTGAGAAAATTCTTATTGACAAGAAGGGTTTTTTGTGATATACATACAACCCACGCTGGTACACCTTTTAGATGAAAAGGAGCAGCGAAACATCAGACCATTTGTAAAAAAAAGAGGATCGAATAATGACACCGTTTTTTAACTTCTACTCAATTTAATTTTTAGAGACCTGCGACAAATTCTAATTACTCGCACGTAAACAGTCTGCTTGCACGCTCGTGGTGACTCACCTAGACCACTTTGAAAATCTTCGCGATCTACTTTGGAAAGCGGGGGGGGGGGGGAGGGCTTTCTCTCGTAACGTCGCTATTATTAGCAATACAATGTTTGCACTTGTGTTTTCTATTTTTGGTTGCGGAAACTGAGACATTTTCTTTTGATTTGAACTGCGTTTTCTGTTCCGCTTCAGAGGGTGAGAGCACAAAAAGTTGCGCTGTGTGCGGTTGAACGCTTTTAAGATTTCTATAAAGCATGTATTATATTGAGAGCATAGAAAAACAGACTCTGTGTATTTATAGATTGCGCTTTTGCAAGCCAAGTCATGGAATACATGCAGTATCCACAAATATATTTTTTGCTTCAATGCTCGAAAAACACCTGCAAATATTTACCGAAGCAGGGATAACTCGAAAAAAACTAGATTATAATTCTCTGAAATTGGAAAAGAGAGTCATCTATCTGCGTGCTACTAAAGGATAAATGAAAAAACACAAATCATCATCGGCTCCTAGATCCGTGTGGAGACGGGTTGCGAACTTTTCCTGAATATAAAAATGAACAGTTAAAACGTTGCAGCATTGTTTTTCGTATACTCTTTTAAGTTTTTATAATCAGAGAAAGTCCGAAATCTGCAGGCACACGAATCTGGAAGCCGATCATACCTTGACGTGAATTGGTAATCTATCATTTACAAAATATAAAACATTACAAGGCTGTGGAGAAGATTGGAAGTGAATGTGTTTTATTTTGATTCTATCCAACTTTTAAAAAGATGATTCAAAATCAGCTAAAGACGGCAATCTCAAAGACTTTTCAGCATGGACAAAAACATGTAATCTACGCTGGCTAAAATCCCTATTTTTGCAGGGCTACCTCCCCCCCCTTTTTTTTGGAAGAAAATAAAAAATCGATATTTTGCCGATATGTAGTAACCAATACCCTACCGCAAAAAAATGAAAGAGTTTTTCTACGTTATTTTCGCGTAGTGTCCGCTCTTTCAGGGTTTCCTGGTATTCCATTCATTTGGTGGTGGAACAGGCTCTGGATTTACAGCACTGCTCATGGAACGACTTTCTGTTGACTACGGAAAGAAGAGCAAATTGGAGTTTTGTATTTATCCAGCTCCACAGGTCGATACCACAGAAATTTTTTCACGAAAAATAACTTCCAGAAAAATTATTAGGTCTCAACAGCAATGGTAGAGCCGTACAACTCAATTCTCACGACTCATACTACACTGGAACATGCGGATTGCTCATTCATGGTGGACAACGAGGCCATCTACGACATTTGCAGACGTAACTTGGATCTAGCAAGACCAACGTACACAAATCTGAACAGACTGATTGCACAGGTAGTTTAGAATTTTTGTGATGGAGTTCTCAACCTAAAATTACAGAAAAAGCAAAGGGAATTTATCGATGGTAAACATTTCATATTTGCTTATTCTCTAGCCAGCTTCCCAACAAAAAATTATGCTGCATCCTCTCAAAAAACATTGTAGGTATCATATAGTAGATTTGATGGTTTTATAATGTTTCTGCCTTTGAAATGCTTACGCGCAAAAATTGGCTATGGGTCGCAACTTAGTGGTGCTTGTCTGTGCTATGGCTCCTTTTTTCGCGCAAGTGTTGTCGGCACTGCAAAGCGCTATGGTATCTATGTGAAGCTGCAAGATCTCTCGATCCTGGAAGAAGATTAAACTTAGAACAATATGGGATTTTACAATTCTTCAAAACCATAACGTTTTAATGCCAAAAATGCTTCCAAAATCAGTTCTTCATTTCGATCAGAGATAAAAAAAATTTCTGCAATTCTTCCAGTGTCGGGCTCACAGCCTCATCAAGGTAACAAACGGCATTTCGTGTACTAGTTACCATGGTTCAATTACAGAATAATGATGGTGATAAAAAATCTATTCCTGAAGAAAGTTGCGTTTGCCGCGACAAATTCAGTTCAATGGAATTTGTAAGATTACTCTTTAGCATTCAATTTTCAGGTGATCAGCTCGGTGACAGCCTCGTTAAGGTTTGATGGCGCGCTCAATGTGGATCTCACGGAATTTCAAGTAAGTCAAGCTTGAATGAAATTTTATTCCATTTCTGACTAATTTCAGACAAATCTTGTCCCATATCCACGCATTCATTTCCCTCTCACAACGTTTGCGCCAATCATTTCGGCAGAGAAAGCCTATCATGAGCAAATGACGGTGAGCATTTCTTGAACGCTAGCAGTTTCAACTATGAAAATGTTCAGGTGAGCGATATTACACAGCAATGCTTTGAGCCAGGAGCACAGATGGTAAAATGCGACCCGAGGCGAGGAAAGTACATGGTAAGTGACATGGGTGAAGGACTCATGAACTTCAAATTCGTACTGCTCCATACAGGCTTGCTGTCTCTTATATCGTGGCGATGTGGTGCCGAAGGATGTCAATGCAGCGATTGCATCAGTGAAGACGAAAAGGACCATCCAGTTTGTTGATTGGTCTCCAACAGGATTCAAGGTTAGTTTCTTTGCAATCTGTAAATTAAACAGAAAATGAAAACTCGAACCAGGAAGGATGAAGTGCAATTATGTACAGTAAATGGGTCTTAGGAAATTTTTTCGAAGAGCGAAGGAGAGAAGAACTAGAGGAAGAGCTATAATCACCAAAAATCCAGTAGACCACTATTAAATTTTTGAACCAACCCTTTTGGACCCTTCACTGGTTAGGCTAGAAAAGAAGTGCCATAAACCACCCTTGAAACATACCTAACCGCTGAATTTGACTACTTTTTCCTGTAGGTTGGCATCAACTACCAGCCTCCTACAGTTGTACCTGGAGCTGATCTGGCAAAGCTACAGCGAGCTGTGTGTATGCTCTCCAACACCACGGCTATAGCCGAGGCATGGGCAAGACTCGACCACAAATTCGATTTGATGTATGCGAAAAGAGCTTTTGTACATTGGTAGGTCATTATCTAATTCTGAAAAAAAATGGCATTTCTACATATTAGGTTGTCCCGAAAGTTTTGTCGGTTTTTTCAAACCACGCACAAAAAACACCTGAATGAGTTTCAACATGCATTTAATGCAGCTTTTTCTTCTCTTTCTTACGGATACAATCTCAAGCCACAATCTTGTTTGCTTTTTTCGATATTTGTTAAAATTCTCCATTCGCCAATTTTATCTGCTCAAAGTTCGGCTAATTTTTGAAAATTTTATTAGTTTCTAAAATGGTTAAGTATGATTCTAATAGGGCACTTCTCGTACTACAAGATTCTATTTTTAGATTCTCCTAATCTGCTTTTTAGCTTGAGAATAATCATTTCTTAAAAAGTCTCGATTTTTGGCAAAGTCATGAAACACGCAACTGCAGCAAATATACGGAAGTTTTTCTGCGAATTGAAAGATGATTTCATTGAACATTATTTATGCAACATGACCAAATTTGATTTGCCTTGAAAAAACAGCTTTCTGGAATTTTTGGTACTTTTACGTGGTCAACGTAATCAAAAAGTCGCGGTTCTTACTAAATAAATAATTATAATGTACTTGGTAAACGTGGCCCATGTAGTTTAAAATGAATAAAATGTAGCCAAAGGTCTGCTCTACATAATAGTTACTAGCGCTCTTTGAAAACGTCAAGATAAAATTTTTTAAAATTCAAGAAAAATTTGGCGTTAAGTTGCTCAAAAAGCCTTGGCGATATTATTGCAAAGACATGGTAGATCAGAGACAAAATATAGTTGTATGAAAGAGAATAAAATTCTGAATCAAATGGTACCAAGCTTGCCCATGGACTGGTGTTCTGTGAGTTTCAATGATCGATGAAAGGAACCGACAAAACTTTCGGGACAACCTAATATAATTGAAAAATGGTGTACGTATGCTTTCCTATGTTAGCAAAAAAAGACGACACTGCCAAAAGGTGTTGAAAATTATTCAGTGATTATGACTTGCGAAATGTAAAAAAATTGGAGTTACAAACTTTTTTCAGGTATGTAGGCGAAGGAATGGAAGAAGGAGAATTCAGCGAGGCAAGGGAAGATCTAGCAGCTCTCGAAAAGGATTACGAAGAGGTACGGTGTTATGATAACACAATTCTATGCGGGCCACTTTCTTTTCAGCAGATAGATAATGGTTTGACAGCTCCAGATTCGAAGATTTCTAGGATTCCCCCCCCCCTCCAGAAAAGCCAGTTTTATGAAAAAAAAAACAGCTATGCTAAGACTCACAACTGATTTTCAAAGAAAAAGAGTGGAGAAAATTTTTGCAAATATGAGCATGACTTTGTCTCCTTTGAAATATTTGGGGCCTATAAAAAACAATCATGACTTTAGAAATTTTTTTCGCAGAGCTTCGATCTTTAGAAGAATTTGCTCTGATTTTTGAATTGAAAATGTTTGGGACGTAGAAGAAATAGTTAAGACTTTGAAAAAAATCTTTTGCAAAGCTTCGAATCAATGGAAGTCAACGTCTCTTCTGATTTTTACAATCAAAATACACAATGCAAATTTTATAACTTGCAAAAATGAAAATTTTCCATCCCTCCATCGGCTTGAATTTGTTATATACTAGCTTAATGCATAATTCTTGCACCAAAATTTTTGCAATTTGTCACTTTCTCCAACTTCAATGAAATCTCCTGATTCAAATAATAGAGAGAGAAAATCTTGCGCTTACGAAATATGCTTAGCAGCGATATAAGCTGATCAAGAGAAACACCCAGTGTTTTCGATTTTTAGTTGTCAAAATTGCTAAAACGTCTACTAAAATTCAATTTTATATTTGGTCTCAGTTTATTACCTACTCTTTTTGACTAAGAAAATTGGTAATAATTACATGTCTTCAAAAATAATTACGATCGATTTACATAATCGACTTACTGATTTTGTTTAATAGTTTTCAATGTACTAAAATATTTTTTATACATAACAAAGAGCATTTTGGGTAAATTCATTAGTTTGTTTGAGCATTTTCAAAATAATATTTTTTAAACCATTGGTGCAAGAATTGTGCATCGATCTAATAGGTATCAAGACAATTTGGCTAATATCTCATACTCTACTGGCTTACAATTTAATTTCTCCAGATTTGCTTGTGATGGGGCAACCAAACCCAGAGCAAACTAAATATCATTGTTTAGGTTGGTATCGATGCTTCAGATGACGAGGGAGACGACGAGTACAGTCAATATTAAACTATTGAGCTAATGATATGGAGGTGATAATGTCGACTGATCTCAGTAATATTTATTTTATGATAAATACTTTCAAAATGAGTATCAAAGAGCAGAAGAACTACAAACCGCACTCAGATACCGGTATCAAATGAGCAATGTAAATCTAAGGAATGAATTAGTCTATGTTAGCAAGAGCATTGCGGGCAAGAGAAATGATTGTGCGTGCTCAATCAAACATAACAGGATCATTGAAGCTATCGTCGCTTTCAGCTTCATTCTCTGAGTCTTCTATAACAAATTCTTCATCTTCCTCTACATCGACCTCTTGTGAAGATGGCAGAAGTGAATCGCCATCAATCCTTTCTCTTGAAAATCAACCTATTTGACTTATTCAATCTCAGAGCAGCAAATACCTGAGCTGCGCCAGACGATATGCTGGATGCAGTGCTGACAACCTATGGTCCCAGAAAGATCTGTCTGTCTCCCACGTGAAAGTCCATGGTCTGGTTAGGTAGCTTACCAGTCGGTATTGGCTTCCATTTAAAAATGATGGCATTAGCGATAAGTAAGGCACGTCCCTGCAAGGACAAAAATAAGACAATGCAGGATTCCGTACCTTATTTTTGATCACTGCGCATGTTCCTAATGGGTGACTAGAATTTTTATTAGTCCCTTTTCTGATGCTATGACCTAACATTCATTAGTCAAAGCGAACGATCATAGGAGTAAAGTAATTCTAATGCGAAAGAAGGGACAGACCGAACAAAAAATGGTAATTACATAAGATGCTGCTATAAGCCTTCGAATTTGCTTAGCGCATACACTTGATAATACAAAAACTTCTAAAGGTGCACCATTTACTCCTCTAGTATTCTGCTTTGACCGAAAATTTAGAAGCTGTAGAGTGCAAAAGAGCACGAAAGAGGAATTATAGTTTGAAGAATGATGGGGAAAATACAGAAACTTACAACTCGCCGAAGCGCGAATCAGATGATCCGGATGTCTTCATTACGTCGTTCATCTCACAAGTCAAGGACTGAGTATGGGTAGACAATCGAAACCATTTGGGGCGTATATACTTGTAAAATCCCCGCGCAATTCCTTCAAGTCATGTTATAAAATTTATGCAGTACAAAATTTGGTCCGAACTTACTATTAGCTTTATAGTTGTGGAACGTGGTTGCACGAGCGCATACCTGAACATGTTCAAGTTCTATATCTATTTTCCATAGAAAGTTCTGTATAAAGTATGAACTTTGAGGTTATAGTTTTCTGATCAAACCTGCGAGACTAGATCTTGTGCAAGTATACGCGTTTCCCAGTGTGTGGATATAGAGTCACAGAAAGACATGGCATCAAAAACTCTTCTTGTTGTGGCTACCGAGCCGGCAAAATTGGGTTCATGCTCATGCAGAAACATCATGACCTCAAAATCAACGGTATATTGGTGAATCACCTAAAGAAAGGAAAAAAAGGAGGGATGGAGAGGGGGGGGGGAGCTTAGAATACTAGAAGGAAAATGACTTCCACGGTTTAGTTAATTGGAATAAAATTAAAATTGCATACCGTATCCGCAGATGCTTTCGACATCTCGAGTACATCATCGATGTGCCTCTCTGAAGGCGGCCGACGTAGCTCCTCTCGCACAGACAGCTCTGTTTCTAGAAAGCGATTTCCATCGTTCTCGCGTTTGGCATACAGTAGTACCCCAAGCATATGGAAGAGCTATAATAAAGTAATATAGATCAGCAAGGCCCGTTATGAAAGCAAACCTCGTCGTTTGACATAGCCTCAAATACGTTTGGGATGGTGAAATTTTCACGGCTGCTCAAAAGCGAAAACTGAATAATATTGAGACCGCTTCGAATATCGCCTGAACACTAAAAATGTCAAATCTTGTGTAGCCTTACAAAAACGATTTGGCATATAAAAAGATCGCACATACCATTTGCGAGCTTCTCGATGGCCCTGTAGTCCTTGGCAGCAAGCTAAAAAAACGGATTAGCAGAATGGAATGTCAGTAAACATCTCCACCAATGAAATTTGGCAGACAACGTAATCGTGTGGGATATTTTGAGTTGATTCGAGAACGCAGGTGATGTACAGTCGCGCGGCATGGTGTCAATAGTAACATTATTACAACGCCTTACTTGTGCACACGGTAGACTGCTTATGCGCATTTCATGCATTGTTATCATTTCACAAAACCGCAGTGACATTCAAGAAGAAATAAAGTGGTCCAGCTTAACAGTACCATCATCTAGGCAAGTCTAGACAAAACGCACGGCCTGACGATGCCTTTGAGCTACGCTAATATCGTGACAATAGTTATTTTCTTCATATCAAATCTCTGACTTACCCTATTGTGGAATCCCATGCAGTCCACTGCTCTTCTCAAGCACTTCCTAATGAATGTGCTAGCTGCCGGGTAGAATTCAAGCTCAGATATATCTAGCTCCTAAAAAACTGGCAATAACGATACCATTACAGAAGAAAAGAAGAACAAACCGCTATGAACGACTTTGTAAAAACCCGTCTAGGAGACATAGGCCAAGAGGAGTCTCGGGAAGTGAGATCAAATACGATGAGGTTTTTGGTGTCATGAAGGTATGGAAACAGTCTACGTCGAAATTCTAGAACGTCCCTGAAGATCCGATAGCCAGAAGCTTGAGGGGAAAAAGTTGTACAAGAATGAGTGCAAGCTAGAAAAACAGTCAAAAGGAGTATTGCGGTATCCAGCTCACCTATAAGCAAGTGATGGCAAGTCCTCTATATGGTACAACCGGCCCTTCGGCGGTTCTAAACGTCTGTGACGCTTCGGCTTCTCCAGTAAAGACGTCCTCCGCAAAAATCGCAAAAAACATTCCATCTCATCTTCCTGTAGGGACCTGATGCAATTCTCGATGTTTCCAAAGCTACTGAGGACTCACTTCTTTAATGTACGAATTTTCGCCAACATTCATAACTTCCACTGTAGAATCTCGTTCCCACTTCAGGACTTCGAGTTTCAATGATTGAGCAACTACGTCGATAGCCGTTGACTTGCCTCAAACAGGCAAAATTTGGACTTTGCTCTAAGGAACTGAAGACAAACAGAATTTTTTAATTCACCTGAACCAGACGGCCCAGTGACAAATACGACTTTTCTGCAGTGACTTTTCGAAGCAAGTACTGCACGTAGCTGAAATGAGCTGTTTTTATCTGATTTATGTAAAGAGGGGTGCACGTTGTTAGATTACATTACTAAGGCCTAAACGTTATGAGTTATGAAAAAACTCGGCCATCAATTTCAAAGTTTTAGCTTTACAGACTGTAAGGGAGAGAAGCATCGTTCAATTAAGATCAAGGTTTGGGCCTTTTATGAAATTAACTGTGAGTCTTAATCTGAGCTTTTGTCCAAAGTGGCAGTCCATGAGAGTCTTAGGCTTGAGATATACCTGACGATGGGTGGCTATAGCTGACGATAAGACGCTGCGAGCAGCAACGTCTTTTGTGCGTATCGATTGACGCCAGGCGACGCTGCTGCTCCTAGCTGCTGCAGCCAACGCGAAACAGACCCGCTATAGCTAGCGATGCTGCGCTGCTTCTTGCTGCTCTCTGCTGCTCCCAGCTGCTCGTTGCTGCTCCTCGCTGCTACGCGATATGAAGCTCACTTTTTGTGAGCTTCTCTCAGCTGCTTCGAGCTGCTAACGCTAATTTTGCTCGGATTTGCTCCTTTTTTAACATATTTCTGAACTTCTGAAGGATTTTCAGAGCAGTCTCAATACTGATGAACTATGACAAATTTTCACCGAAACGCAAATGCATCGATAAGAAAATCGATAAAGAATTGACAAAGTCGACAAAGAATACTCTGATCAACTGCGTAGTCAAATTAGAGTAACGATGAAAAGCTAGAGGATTCAAACGATCCAGTGGGATATTACTAGTACACCTCAACAAATTAACGTCTGCTATGACCTAGATAGTTCAGATGTTGCCTCAAGCACACACCAAGGTCCAACTGTGACACTCGCTTGATATCTGTCAAATGATTAAAATTTTCTCAGTTTATGCAACATTTGGCACGCCATTTTATGCTTGTTATAAAGAAAATTTCTTGATGAAAACGTACGACTTTTTTAGGTCGCATATTATTTCTCAATTTTGGTAATCGTCAAGACTTTCTTTCCTTAATAACCTAAGCTAAGCATAGTAATGGGTAAAGCTACTTGGTTCTTGCACCCACAGCATACCCAGCGCAGCAGCCACGAGCAGCTAAGGGCAGCGCAGACATCAGCGATTCGCCAACACCCGCTATACCTCCATCGTCAGGTATATCTCAAGCCTTACACAGGCAAAAAGATCAATTCTCAACCCTCGCCCAGTACCGTGTCTTTACGCTGCGGCATAATCAGCGTCCGTCTACAGATAAGTTCACAACTTCTCCAGCCATGAAACTTTACGAGTGCTGCTGACGCAGTAGCTTGAGAAAAGACCTCGGAAAGTATCTATATAGGAAGTTAGGTAGCCAGATGTGCCTGGACGCACCATTATGGAGGAGGTAGGTAATAATATCAACGAGGACGCCCACTGCATATGAAAAATGGAGAGTCTATTTCGAACTGCTAACCACTGCACGGGAATTGCAGCAGGTATGTTTGGAATTAAACGAAGGATTTCTAGTAACCGATCAAAATGTTAACAAGGGAAGTGTCAGAACTCGCAGTGGCCTTTTGACATAAAATAAGTATCATCTGAAGCAGCTTGAAATGCTGATTCCAAAACAGACTTTCTTAGCTGCAGAACTAATCTAGGACGAGAGTTATTGAATTTGATTTGCGGGAAATTTACAACGCTGAGAATAGCCAAAAATTAAAGCGAACATTTTTTTTGGGCTCAAACATAGATGAAACAGTCCATCAATGTTTAACGTAATCCTACGCCTTCATCAAAGTCATGCTGTGGTGCTTAAACAAGCATTTGAAAGGTTCCCGTGATCACAGAATACTTCAAACAATGTAAAATTTAATGTTCAAAATGCCCATAACTTGCGACCCGGATCAGTTCTGCAGCTAAGAAAGTTTGTTTTGGAGTCAGCATTTCAAGCTGCTTAAGATGGTACCCATCACATGTCAAAAGGCCACTGCGACTTCTGACACTTCCCCTGTAAGTAAGCCAAAGGAAATAGATACCTTTTCAACAATCTTTGGATTGATGCCCAGCTCATCGACTTTTGTGGGGACAGCTCCAATACAAAACAGTTTGCTAACGGCCGGCAATGGTTTGGACCACGCTTCTATAATAAGAAGAGCTGAGTGTACATCCCATTGAAAGTATTGTTCATATACGATACAATTGTGTACAACGATGTGTCCGCTCATTTGGTTAACTCCGATTGCTAACAATGCGGTAGCGCAAAGCCGATGCCTATGAGTCGTGAAGTCGGCATAAACGCTGCGACTTAAAGGCAGCGTCCAGGCAAATTTGGGTCTATGGGAATCTCACTTGGAGGGTAATCTTGGAGCCCTAACTAGAACATTGCCCAAGCGGCAGCTCGAATGGTGAGCTCACAGTTGAGATATCCGCCTTCAAGCTTGACCCCGGGATCGCATTCACATGGAATCATGGCGCGACACATCAGTTTCGCGCGAGGACCCATGCGTCTCGCGCTGAATCCATGCAAGTATGACCCCGGGGCCCAGTATGGAGGCGAATATCTCAACTTTGAGTTCACCATTTGAGCTGCCGCCTGGGCATTGTCTTAAATAGGGCCCCAAAATTACTTCATATCAGAACCTCGTATGTCCAGATTTGCCTGGACGCTGTCTTTGAGGCAGGTGCCAGAGTTATCCGGATCAGCAAGTTCATCCGCTTCACTCATCGTTATTGGTCAAATCACTGAATTGACCGACAGCAAACGGGGTAAAGCGGATGACCCGGTTGAACTGGATAAGACTGGCACCTATACACGATTCATGACACGCAAAGACTGGGCGCCTTTGCATCCGCCTAAGATAGTTTGTGCGTGGGAGAGCAACAGATGGTAGGAGAAACGAAGGAGCGCTCGATCAGAGGGACGCGAATAGGTCCACAGTCTCTGCGTGCTATGAATTGCCTATACCTAACCGTGCGATCTCTACAACTCTACTCTCGCATTCTGTGAGTGCCAAATTACTTGGCATTCTTTCCATCAACTATGAGCGATGAGAATATTTTGAAAAAACTCACTTTCTTTGTTGATTTTTCTCTCCAAATTCCTCGTATGGAACTTCGGAATCTCATTCTGAGAATAGAAGCTTTGTGGATTATCTTCGGGATCATAAGGATCCCACTGTGGAGTGTACGATGTTGAAGGTGGACGAACTTCATCTACGACAACGATATCTTCGTCACTCTCATTGCCCATGTCGATGATTACAGGTTTCTTTCGCTTCCGAGCTGATTGGCTTCCGACTGTGATCATTCTGAAAAAGAAACAACGTGAGTTTCAGGACAGAAATGCTGAAAATACAAACTGGGCAAGAATAACAATTTGAATCGCTTTGGCAGCAAATATGTCCCACCACGAATCGTTGCTCCAATCCCTAATTCAGTTTTTCGGATCTAGAAAAAAAGCGATTTTGATGCCGAATCACTTTAATCTTTGATAATCTCCGATAAGAAGTACTTTTTGTGCTTTTTTCAAATATTTGCCCATTTCGAATTGATATGAGCTAGTTTTAGGTGTCCTTCCGCCTAATGCTACCTCGTAGGACTTCAGTACTTCGGGTAAGCAGTGGCATTAGAGAGCCGAATGTGCACTCTCGGAATCAACATCCCAGGTTGACTCCTGTGCGAGTAAATTATGTTACCGACAAATTTTCGACTGCTACAGTAAGTTGCCAGATTTTTACCTCTATTTTTCTGATTTCTCAACGAAATTGGAGACCCTTGACTTCTTATATCGTCTGATTGCAGTTATAGTTGGGTACTAGTCGATGAATACAAGTCAGAAATGCAAAATTAGGGATTTCGCTGGAAATTCGCCTAGGCTTATCTAACCTGCCATTACGGAAATGACATAGTTGCGTAGAAGGGCCTTTTTTTCTAAAATCATTGTAGGCGTACGTATGGGATCAAAATGTCAGATCTCGCTGGAGCTTTGCACAAAGGCTAGTTTCATACTGATCCGTTCCGGAACAGTTCCAGCACAACGCACAATTTGTGCGCTGTGCTGGGACTTTTCCGGAACTTGCGGATCAGTATGAACTCAGCCAAAGGGTTATTCGACGTTGCTCGCGTAAACGCGGTTTTTCTGCGCGGTAGACCATTTTCTGGGATATGGGTGGGTTGGAATCCCATAATCGGTCTAATTTCGTCTCGAGGGTTTTTATAACATCTGTATCAAAACTATGATATCGATAGCACCAAAAGTAGCGTTCTGTGGAGTTGCAGTGGATCACAACTTGTCACTTACTCGATCAGAACGCACTTTTGATTGTTGTCAGCGTCATAGTCGTGATAAGCATGGCGTAATACTCGCCCCTTGAACGAAGTTTCAGGGTAGGGTTCCGACCCCCCCCCTACAATATACTCATCGTAATCCCAAAAGATCGTCCTACCGTGCAGAGAGAAAGGCAACACCCACCCAAATCTTCGTCTTCCATGTTCTTGTTATTTTGGGACCATTCCATGGCTCTGATTACACATATAAAGTCCAAAAAGTGCAAAACAAAAAACGATTTCTGGAAGCCCTATTCTAGAGGCACGGTCATGCAGTACTTGGGGTGGGCGGGGCGTAATGACAGGACGGGCGTGGCTTGACAACACATGGGTTCCAGGTGCGCAAAGGCCACGTAAGAGTACTGGATCAATGCATATTTCCTACTGCGGGCCTTGTTGCGGGGCAGCTTGGATTTTGCGCGGACACTACCATTAACATCATCATCGTTTTCGTGTCGCTTTCGTGCCAAATAACCCCCTGAGTAATGCTATAGCGAATTCGTGACTTGCATTACATAAAGCTACCGATATTCCGCCGCAAGACGCTGTTGAAAGGAATGGATATGATATTTGTGATCAGCATTCGAATAACTCTCAAGTGCAAAGTTTCAACAAGATCTGAGACTTTTATCCTTTACCGTAGGCATACCGTAACCCCTCAGAAAGCCCCTATCATGCGAAGAGTGGATAACCGTAGGTGATTTCCAGCGCAATCCGTGACTTTACATTTTTGGGTTGAACCAGGTGGATTAGCACCATCTTGTATATAAAGCTGAATGTCTATTTGTATGTCTGTCTGTATGTCTGTCTGTCTGTCTGTCTGTCTGTACGTATGTTCCGAATAGAAAATTCCATTTCTGAACCGATCGGGACCAAACTTGGCACACATACACTTCGGGCCCCGGCGGGTGTCAAAGTCCACTTTTCGTTATCGATTGATGTCGATTTTATCGATTTTTTGCAAAATTTGAGCTACGGGGCTGGGAGTTGGCACAGGAGGGTAAGTGAGCATGGGGATTCCGAATACAATATTAGTTTTTAAAATCGTGCATTACTTTTATCGATTTTATCGATTTTTTTGCAAAGTTTGAGCTACGGGGCTGGGATTTGGCACAGGGGGGTAATCGAGCATGCTGATCATCCCCGTGGGGGTGATCAGCATGCTCGATTACACCCCCCTGCCAAATTCCAGCCCCCTAGCTCAAATTTTGCAAAAAAAAATCGATAAAATCGATAAAAGTGACGCACGGTTTCGAAAACTAATATTGTATTCGTAATCAGCATGCTCGATTACCCCCCTGTGCCAAATCCCAGCCCCGTAGCTCAAATTTTGCAAAAAATCGATAAAATCGACATCAATCGATAACGAAAAGTGGACTTTGACACCCGCCGGGGCCCGAAGTGTATGTGTGCCAAGTTTGGTTCGGATCGGCTAAGAAATGGAATTTTCTATTCGGAACATACGGCGGAGCCGGGTATGCCAGCTAGTGCTTGGTAAATAATGCTTATGAAATCATCCGACATCCTGCTTATAATGCTAATCATTTGGGATAAAGTTCCTCATCCTGCCTGTGCTCGTCTGTGCCAAACTATCTGCAGTCGCAAGCTTGGACCAGTGCATGTTTTTAGTCACTTTCTTTGGTGGCAGTTTGATGATAACTCATAACATCACGTGTCTATTTTGTCCAACACTTGCACTTTTCAATTTGACATCAAATAGTCCTTTTGTGTCATTTCTGCTTCAGTGGCTAGACCGTGCTGTGTTCACTGCATACCTGTTGCAAATGCTTTTTTGAGCATAGCCCATAAAAAATGTTTTCTATACCACCAAGGTTGTTTACGTAAGCTTTTTTCCGTAAAACCATCTTGCATACATTTTTTCGTAGATCTTCTCATTCTTTGGCTTGTTGTTATCAGTCTCTTGTGAAGGATATCTACACTGATAATGAATGTCAGAAACACATTCACAAGAACGATTATACTGAGCGAAGTGTCAAAAAAGGTGATTGCACGGTGGCACATGGCTGAAAGAATTCCATAAAAGTGCAGAACTTTTTTTTTGCAACTTTACAATGCGCCCCTCTCATTGTTCTTGCGCTTCCCTTTTACAAACTCCTGATTTATGTATTTTCAATCATCTGAACTGATTCTTTTGAGGATGTGACTCACCTCTTTTTAGTGAACGGTTAATTCCATGTGTTAGAAGGTCAAAAAGAAAGTAAATCTTCCTTATTTGTATCCCTTCCCTCTTTTTTCCCTGATAGTGTTCCCCTCAACCTAGTAATGTTCGCTATTTGCTTTGCTTGCTCCGTAGATTTGAATTCTATTTGGGAAAAACTATGGTGACGTTTTGCACTGCAGTTGTGAGGCTCCCAGTGGATTTTCCCGTCCTTCTACAAAGGCTAATTTCCAAAGGGAGGTCCCTCAGATTATTGATGCTGACCTGTCGTTTGTACCATGAGTTTGAAATTTGGTCCGACTGGGCTTTAAGTATCTAAAATTGTGGAAAAATAGGCCCCTCATCAGGAAGATCGGATCATCTATCAGGTTGATGCATAATTCCTGCACCAAAATAGGTACAGACCGCAGTAATCCGGAATAAAACTATATTTGGAATAGGATTCAATTTATCATTAGATAGAGCAAACCTAGCTCTACAAATTAGTGCTTAAAATTTTGCAGAAGCCCTCATTCAAGCAAAGATTGAAGCCAAAACTGAAAAAGATCCGAGCGCCCCAAAAAACCGAAAAAATTTGAAGTCCGTTCAGAAAAATCCTTCAAAATTCTAACTTGCTTATGCATGATCAATCCGTATAAGACATTTTTCTATGCAGTTGCTGTATTTTTCTCTCAGCTAGAAATTGAGAAAACGAAGGTTTTTATGTTTTTACCAAATTAGTGCTTAGATGTTCTAGCACTTACAATTGTATAGTACATGACGTTAGCAGTACAACTTTACATTTTCAGCCTTCTGGAACAGCTAGTTCACGAGAAGTAGACGAATCTAGGCCTCCTTATCCGAATTTTTCTCGCCTAGTTGCTAAAAATTCGATATTTCTCGCAAACTAGCTGCCGTAAAAAGCTGAAAATTCACACTCACGCTTCTAAGGTCCTATAGTATACAACTGTCAATGCTAGAATATCTCAACCTTTTTTTCTAAAAAGAACTTTGTTTTCTCAATTTCTAGTTGAGAGAAAAATAAAGCAACTGTATAGAGAAATGTCTTATACGAAATGACAATGCATGAGCAAGTTAGGAATTCTAAGTGGATTTTTCTGAATGGACTTCCAATTTTTTTTGGTTTTTTGGGGCGCTTGGATCTTTTTTGTTTTTGGCTTCATCTTCGCTTGAATGAAGGCTTCTGCAAAACTTTGAACACTATCTTGTAGAGCTAGGTTTGCTCTATCTAAAGATATATCGAATCCTATCTGGGATATAGCTTTATTCCGGATTATTGCGATCTGTACCTATTTTGGTGCAGGAATTATGCATCAACCTTAACATTTGTTGTAAATTTAAACCATCCACGTTGACGGGCGGAACGGACGCCATTGTGGAGCTTTCTCTTGCACCGAGACTTAGTCGTTTAGTGAGGTTTCACTCCGCCTCAGTCTGCTTCATAGCTTCCTACCTTCGCTGCTTCCTACCTGTTCACAGAAAATTTCGCTAGAAATCTGGTTCTCTTGAAATTGTTTTTTTCAGCGACAGCCTGTCTCTAGTCAAATGAGATACATCGCTAGGAGAGTAGCGACAAGTACAACTTCCGCTTTTATCGGTTCTCCCCAGACGGAGGATAACAATAGTTTAGTTCAGTTTGTGAGTTTCTCTTTAGCGCATATGTATTGTACAATGTTTTGTAGCTGAAGTGCACACAGTCCCTCCCGAACGCATTTTTTTGGCACCAGTTAGTCTTTAGCTTGCAGTGTCTAAAAAGACAAGATAGACGTCTGTTAGCATTATTTCCTCCGATTTGCTTTCTTGTGAGATTACCGCGATCACAAATTGCTGACTTGAATTGAAAGTACCCAAAGATATTCGTTGCAGTTCAACCTAAGCTATAGTGCGATTTACCAATAGCTCAATTATCTTACCTAAAATCGTGACAGCTGTTGCGAACAGGTGATCGCGTTATATCAACAGCTGGCAATCATGTAATGTGAGTCGCTTCTGCAAAAATGTTATAATTTGAGTAAGTTGGTGTAGGTTTTGAGTAACATTTCGTTACCAGGCCATCCAGGTTCTGATAACGCTTAGCATCTGCATTTTTTTTTCTAACAATTTGCCCAGTCAGCTGAATTTTTTGGTTACAGGGAAATTTTTTTCTTTTAGGTTGAGATATTGGAGAGTTCTTTGCTATCTCTCAGCTGTTCTTCTCCATTACCCTCATCTTGTAGCCTGTATGGATGTGCAGTACATAGATTCAGATATTTAGAAAGTGGCATTTAATAAACCTTAAAATACTTTAAACATTTCCTTCTAATGAGACCATTGGACACTTGTCGGTTTTGGCAGAGCGCGCTGCATGTATAGCTGAAACGCGCATTCAGAGAATCGCATATCAAGCATTTGAAACGCTCGTATTAGTCCATGAGAGTATTATTTACTTGATCAGCGCACATGTAGTAAGAGGAACTCGGAAATGGGAAAGTGATCCGGCATTGTTGCAAGCTTATTGGAGGTCCTTCAAAAATGCTAATTTGTGCGGCCTGTGAAGTTAGAAGGCTATTGAGTCTTTCAAATCCGTTTTCCATCTTTAAGCTGCAGAGAGGAACAGGAGCAATCATGGTACGATATCGAAAAACACACTTTTTGATCTACGAAGAGCTTTTGGTTTGTTCCAAGAGCAGTTTAGCGAGTCACATCATCAGATCATAGGATAAGTGTTACAGCCCGGGAAGTCTTTGCAAATGGTCTCTTATCTAAGGCAAAATCCCTCCCATCCTCCATCTCTGCGTTTGCCTAACGGCACTATACTGTTGCATAGTGCATACTGATTATGGACTGACAGACAAACTCTACACTTTGAGTTCAGGATAATGATGATGTGCCAAATACTCGAACATTGACAGCACGAAGTGTGAAGATTCCTGTAGTGAGATCGTCAGCTGGAGGACGTTATCTCCTCCGGATTCCCAAAAGCGATACGTATGTTGGGCCACTGCGAACGTTTAAGTCCTATCCAAAATCTCAGTTATTTAGTGACGGAAGCATAGAGCATAGATCAAATAACAATCAGCATCAGTATTCTTTTCCCTATGAGAAGAGGCTCGTCATTCCTACAGTTCCTCCAAGCATGTCAATGGGTGGAGAATATGCTGAGGATCAGTATGAGCTCGTATATGAAACTAGTGAGTTTTATGATTGTTATATTTTGTTAGTTAACTTTTTTGCAGCCATTGATCTGTTTTGTTTGGTGAGGAATTTATTATTTTGCTGTTGAAATTGCTGATTTTGTTCAACCTGTAAATCTTCTTTTCTATCTAAATTGAGCATCCGGTGTCTTGCTCAAAATGCTAGTATCACCTAATGGAAGGCACTACAAGTAGTCTACTTGAAATCTCTATTTGTAGACAATGCTTCGCCTCCTGTACGCCTTGTAGAACGAGATGATTATGATAACGGTCGTATCTATAATGATGGCAAAAAGCGTTACTTGTGAGTGTTTCTGTACGCACTTCCAGATCTTTGTATTCTATTCCTTTTTTTTTCTATTCTTCAAACAGTTTGCTTTATTGAATCTGTTTACAACGAGGCTCGTGGCATAGCTGTCTAAATATAGACCTCTATATGTTTCAGCTGTTCGGAAATGACATGTTTTTGGCATGGTCCTACAAATGCCTCTTTGCGGCGGCATATGATGGTTACACATAGTCGTAGTGCACTGAACAATCCCAGCGTGCGAACTCCTAATGACCAATCGAATCGACGGCAAACGAAGCCCAAGGGGGTAAGCAACTTCCCCTTCATTGTAATGTAAAGAGGTCTTTTTTGCGTTTAGGTGAAGTGTAGCGAATGTGGACAAATGGCTTACTCTCGCCCCCTTTTGCTACGGCATATGACTCAGGCGCATGGGATCGTTGCGCCACTTATATACAAAACTTTTTCGGACAGGGAAAGTCTGCAGGTGCTAAAAATCGCATGCCTATAACATACACAAAACATCGCAGTTCCAGAAATGGCTAGAACAGTTGCGAGATACTCACGCAGTCGAGTTTGTAGTTTCATCAGGTTCGAAGAAATGGGGACAAGGTCTTCAGGTGCGTTCCATTTTCAGCTGTTGACAAATTATTTTTTTTTGCTTTATATAGAGATCCGTTTTTTTGTCTTATATTGGTGATTTTCGAGATCCAGTAACAGAAATACCGATTTTCGCCGGAAGATTCTTAGCGTTAGTAACAGATTGAACGAACCGTCCATCCTAACTTAGGGGTCTTGAGCTTTGCGCAGTTACGGTACTAGGACCCCCTACCATCGCCCAAGTCGCGGTGCAAAATGTCGCTTCGGAAACGAGAGAATCTCTTAGAATAGCGAGGCATGAGGACCTTAAGTGGGCACCGCCCCCATCCTAATGCCCGCCTATCCGTGCGCCCGACCGATCATCGTTCCGGAAAGCCGGCCTGCGTGTTTTCCGGAACGGGATTTTTGGGGTTTTCGCGGCTTCTTGACCTCATCTTCGGAATCAGAGTCGTGAGAAGGCCTCGGAACGACCAAAACATGGTCCAAGAATCTGGATGGACGGTGCCGCAAAGGCAGTGTCCGGGCAAAAAGTCGTTTTTGATTGTGCTCACCCGGGCATGTTTGCCATGCTGAATCCGAAAATTCACACTGGAAGCGCGAAAAGCGAAAAACGCGATAATGGGCGCTAAAGCAGGAGGGTAATTAGAAGGTGGACGGAGTCTTCCCCATTGTGAATTCACGCTTCTAGCTTCCGAGAGCTCGATTCCGATAGCTGCCTTGACATCGTCACCGGAAGTGCAAGCGCGTGGCTTGAAATCGGAACCGAGAAGATGGCTCCGGAAGCTGGGAGCGTGAATTCAATGTGGGAAAGACCCCGCCTACCTGGTAATTTTACCCCTGCATCTCCCTTTCTCGCCATTTCGCGCTCTCCAGTGTAGATTTTCGGATTCAGCATAACGAATAGGTCAGCAAAAATTTCGAAACCACTTTTTGCATGGACACTGCCTTCAAACACTATGGTGAGCACGGTGAAAGCGTACGAATTGGAAGATTATATCTGGATAATTAAATTGATTTGTAGGGGTTTCACCACCTTATCCTCTTGATAGCAAACGGCTGAAATGGACTAGTGAGACCAACTGAACGAAGGCTAAGGCACCCGTCAGACTTCGCTCAGAATCGCTCTAAAGCGCCCAAACACGCTCGAAATTTTTGAAATTCATCACATTTCTCATCTCTCCTCATACACGTTTCCCGCCAGCTTTAAAGCGCCGGCACGGTCTTTTTGTCACGCAAGTGCTACTACGGAATGTATTAGGTTGAACCGAAAGTTCGTTTGCACCATTTTCAAAAAATCGTAACTTCTTTCCGCCACGACAATTTTGCGCAATTTAAATTTTATTAGAAAGAGTAAAGCATGTAGTTTCCAATAGTCCCCTGGTGACTTTCCAGCATGTTCAGGTTGCAGAGATAAAAATGAAAGAACGAAAACATCCGAAATTCGGAATTTTTGAGAAACAATTCCAAAAATCTAGAAACTGCGCGATAAAATCCAGAAAAGCCATTATCCTAATTCTTCTTATATTTGATTACTAATTGAGTTAAGTTTGTGCTGATCGAGCCTTTCTTTCAAAAGTTATGATTTTTTGAAAAAAATGTCGAAAAATCAATTTCTTAGGAATTCTTAGGAAAGTGATTTTTTGGAATTTTTTTTTCAAAAAATCATAACTTTTGAAAAAAGAACTCAATCAGCACAAGCTTAACTCAGTTAGTAATCAAATATAAGAAGAATTAGGATAATGGCTTTTCTGGATTTCATCGCGCAGTTTCTAGATTTTTGGAATTGTTTCTCAAAAATTCCGAATTTCGGATGTTTTCGTTCTTTCAATTTTATCTCTGCAATCTGAGCATGCTGGAAAGTCGCCAAGAGACTATTGGAAACTACATGCTTTACGCTTTCTAATAAAACTTAAACTGCGCAAAATCGAAGTGATGGAAAAAAGTTATGATTTTTTGAAAATGGTGCGAACGAACTTTCGGTTCAACCTAATATAAAGGGATTGGATATAATGAGAGATTGAGGATTTGAGCACTTTCGAGTGCTTTTAGGCGCCAGAAGATAACATCAAAACACACTTGTAAATGCTGTGATAAACCATGGATGTTTCGATGCTGGGCTGATTTTACGCTAGCCATAATCCCCGTAGGTGTTCTGAGCTTGAGGAAGAAGGTCAACCACGGTATGGCACAATGCCATAATCACAGTATAGTACAATGTCAATGCGATTTTGAGAAAATCGGAGAGGGTGATCAAAGAGGCAGTTCTCTTAAGCAGGAAGAAACACGGAATAAAAGTCTTTGCACAAGGCAACGACACTGCATTGCTTATGTGAACGATGGATTTTGCAAAAGGATCACGGCACGTAGACAGCGCATATCGTCGCCAGTGTTGTACCCATCTCTCTCATATCTACACAGGATTTTGCGGCGTAGGATATCCAGTTCTATATTTTGCAGGTACACTACCTCACGTGCTCCCGTAGTGGTGAGCAAAAAGAGCGACCAAATAAAAAGCATCGTCGCCCTACACGTCCTTCGATAAAATGTGGAAAAAATTGCATGGCCTATCTAAAGGCAAGTTCAATTTCCTTGCCGTCTTAGCTATATGAAGCACCTGTGGAATTTATTCTTTCAGATGAAGCAAAATCCGACGGTCTCCGAGCTGAAGATTGAAGCGTGCTTGCATCATAGTGGTCATGAGATTGACGCATCAAAAATACGATTAGAGCAAAATGAAGTGCGTTTCTGAATCTGGACCTTTCTTGCTTTTCCTGTTGTCATGGATCTTTCTAGTGGTGTCGGGTTATACAACTAATCCGAGAGATTGATGAAGGTTTGCTGCAGGTTGACATCAGGCATATAATGCGGATACGAGGTTGGTTCGCATTTATATACGTTACTTGGTATCTAACGATACAGTACCAGTTAAAGTCGGATTACTATACTCTTCTTTCAGAAATTCTTGGTAATAATGGCCGATTCCGTCTGATGACTGATGAAGGACTCTGTGAGCAACTTCCCAAATGGATAGCGCAGGTACTAACTTTTCATCCAGTGACTGACCAATTTTGTGCCGGTTTGATCTGAATTTCTTGCATAAAATCGTGAATGATGTCTGAGATGGAGGCCTTACTTGCGTGATCGCATCTTTCTCAATTTTGCGTCAAAAGATGTAGACAAAAGTTTTTTCCTTGCGCAACAGGCGGAAACTGGTTCTGAAGAGTTTATGATCACAAAAAAAGGGTTGTTTAATTGTTGACTGATCATAAAGATCGCTTCTAATTGTAAGAAAGGGAGCAAAGTGAAGCGTGCTAGCATAATGTTATTTGGTGGAGTTACAGTAGTTATACTGTAGGGTGCTTCATCTCAGAATTCGCTAAAACTTTGCATAAAGGTGTTATTTGGCATGCTGACCACGAAAATGACACTTTGATCCAAACGCTATCGCTTTTTTATCGGTTACTATGGGCTTATGGCATTAGATAAATCATATTCCAACACTAGGCACTATGATAGCAAGTAATCTTGATATGTATAGAGAATGTCAGGTGATCCCTCTATGTTGGCTTGCAGCTTGTGGGATTTTTGCCCTTTACCGTATTAACTCAATGCCAACTGAAGATGCCAAAGATACATGTAATTTGTGGTCGGCGTGCGGAACAGCCCCTCCCCCCCCCTCCTCTCTTGAGTGATGTCAGTCAGTAAAAGCCAGGGTTTTGATTTTTTTGGGAAACAGTTGGAGTAGAAGTGTGCTTTTTTCTGCTTTCTGTAGGGACTTTCAGATTGGAAGTGAAGAATTTTTGTAAAGGTTGTGACCGAAAGTCTTGAATGTGGAAGTGGTTTATGCTTCAAATAAGATGCTTGTGTTTCATATATGAACGACTCATCTTAAAATCTTCGGTACTTCTTTTCACGAAAGTATTTGAATCTTTCTACTTTCTACTCTTTATTTGGACATTTCCTGATTTTCGGTATGAGTATCATCTTGATGTACTGAAATCATAGACATTTTCCAGCTTGAGTTGGGAGAATATATCCACGAGCTTTAGTTGAGTTGACCGAATGTTTTTGCGTAATCCAAAAATCAAATAATTTCCCAAATGAAACTCAGATTCGTCATCACGTATCCTAGAAATAGTAGAATGTTTGCGCTTCATGAATGATGTTCAAACTTCACTTCCTATGAGCTTATCTTTATCTTTATCTTTTATTCATACTCAACGGTTCTACATGTTAGTGATAAATACCGTGATGATTTTGTCTGAGGCTTCCGTTAATCAGTATGTGACCATATATGCATGTTCTGTTCGCCTCCATTCACGAGAATCCATAACTAGTTCTTGCCATTTACGAGCAGATTCAAAGACATTACAGTGTTTTCGTATGTCGTCTTCCCATCTAGTTCTTGGTCTGCCATCACCAAAGCGTCTTCCGACAGATGGTGTCCAGCGCGTGAGAATTTTTGTCCATCTTTCTTCACCTTGTATCCTATAGATTTTCCCAGCGAACCGCCACTTCCTTCTCCGTGCCGCCGCTACCACATCCTTCAACTTCGTTATAGAACGAATCCAAATTGAAGATTTGGAGTCCTTCAGTCGAAATCCAAGCATCAGCCTTTCCATTGCTCTTTGGCATCGGAGCAGTTTCAGCATTGACTTCCTAGTGGTTGCCCATGTTTCACAGCCATACAGAAGTGTTGGAAGGATGATTTTGTTGAAGTAGTGCCGTTTTAGGTAAACAGCTACGTTTCTGTTGGTGAGAAATCTTCGTATCTTGCCAAAAGCATTCCATGCCATCCCAATACGTCTAGAGATCTCTTTGTCGTGATCGCGCGGGCATTGCAGTAGCTGACCAAGATAGACAAACGAGTCTACGCGCTCGATGGTGTTGCCGTTTAGTGTGATTGTTGAAGTTCTCCAAATGCGATCTCTGTCCTCTCCCATCCATTTTGTTTTTCTTTCATTCATTTGAAGCCCAATTTGCTGACAAGCTTCAAGAATTTTCACGGCCATTGACTGTAATCGAGTTGGGCAACGACTTATAAGCACAACGTCATCCGCAAATGCAAGGTAGTGAAGTTGTTTTCCACAGATATCATAGCCATCTCCATCTTCCCAGTGGACAGAATCAATTGCGAATTGAAGGCACGTGATGAAGATAAGCGGCGATAGAGCATCCCCTTGGCGAACTCCTCTCTGTATTTTGAATGGAGCATTGGTTTCATCAGATTGAAGCGATGCCGTAGCTGCTTGATACAAGAGTCGTATCATTGTTATTGTGTCGGTATCAACTCCATAATGGGCAAGAGCTCTCCAGATTGAGTCGAACTCGACGGTATCGAACGCTTTCTGAAAGTCGAGAAAAAGGAATGCGATGGGTAGATGGTATTCATGCGTTTTCTCAATGAGTTGATTGATAGTTTGTAAATGGTCAGTGGTTGAGAAACGCTGTCGAAACCCAGCTTGCTCAATAGCCAGATATTTGCACACTTTTTCTTCGACTCGACAGGCCAGTGCTCTCGTCAAGACTTTGTAGATTGTAGGTAAGAGAGAAATCGGCCGATAGTTGTTAATATCATGGCGGTCACCGCTTTTGTGAAGCAGTATCAAGGAGGCATGGGCGAAGTTGGTAGGGATGTGATTGTCTTCGAACATTCGATTGATAATATTTGCAAGTTGGGGTGCAACAACTTCTACACCATACTTCGCAGCTTTAGAACGAATGCCATCAATTCCTGGAGCAGTGTTTCCTCTAATCTTTGAAGCTGCTTTCCTTAGTTCATCGGCGCTGATAGGATGAGTAATAGTTCGTTGGCTGTGGAATGGAAGCGTGGTCCCGCGGGCCGCGTAGAGTTCAGCGAAAAAGGTATTAGCAAGTGATTGAGCTTCTGTGGAAGTGCTGGTCATAGTCCCATCTGGCCTCCGCAATTGACATACGACTTCATGTTGACGGATAAGCTCGAGACGGCCGCGTTTGATACGATTGCGTTCGATGGCTCGTTTTAAGACGGAACAGTGATGCCGATAGAGATCGTCCTTTATTGACCATCGCGCAGTCTTGCAAACAGTTACGTAATCAACATGAGCGTTTATAGCGTTCGTCTGCCTCAATCCATACTTCAGTTCACGTCTTAGAAGAAGAAGAGATCGAGTTCGGTTAGAGATTCGTTCCAGCGGCTCCCAAGAAACTTTGGCAAAATCAGCAGCATTCCGGATAGATTTACACAGTTGTTGCCAAGAGTTAACCGGGTCAGTCGTAGTGAGTGTTGAGGATGAAAGTTTGATAATCCGTTTATCACTAAGCAATGCCGCTTTCATTTTTATCTCACTATAGTCTGGAGGCAGTTGACGAGAACGGAGATGGAAGCGTGTCGTGCGAAGATTCACATCGGCTCGAATAAGACGGTGATCGCTCCCCGCGTTAAACCTATTCAGAACAGCAACATTAGTTATGACCCGTGGTTGGCGCGTCAGTACATAGTCGATCTCTTCTAAAACACTTCCATTAGGAGAGCGCCAAGTCCACCGTCTCCTTTCAGGCTTTTGGAAAAAGGTGTTCATTATATAAAACCTTCCCGATTCCGCAAATTCCACTAACGCCTGCCCTTTGCTGTTTCGTGATCCGTAGCATTTCTGACCCACAAACTCAGATCGCATTCTTTCTCCTCCTACACGTGCGTTGAAATCGCCAATCAAAATGTCGTGTGCATAACGCCCTTGTGATATCGCGCTGTGGAGCTCATAGAGAAATTCTTCGTATTCTTCCTCTTGCCAAGGGGCGTATGCTACAGTTATTCGTAACGATTTTCCGCGCAGAACGAAATGAATTTGTAGTAAACGGTCGGAGAGGAACTTTACGCCTGCGCAATGTCGATGTAATCGCTTATTCACAAGTGCCCCAACTCCCCTGCGAGTAACTTCTCCTCCCGTTCGCCCGCTGTTGTAAAAGTGTAATCCAGAAGACATGCGCTTTGCATGGAAGTTGCCGCTGCGGCGTGTTTCGCAAAGGCCAACAAAATCAAATTTTATCAGTTTTAATTCTTTTTCAAGCGCTGCCAGTCTTTCCTCCGATGACAACGAACGGATATTCAAAAAACATACTTGAATCTGCTCTCGGCGTCTCTGGATCCTGCTCTTCTTGACTTCAATGGATGCCATACGGTGGGCCAGCCACGGCTTCTTCCACCGGATGCTTCTCTCCTATCCTTCTCCGGATTCTTCTATTCTTCTTCTGAGATATATGCCAGAGCCACAGAACAGCCGACCGTTCAAGGGGAGCTGGGGGAGGGAAGTGAACCACCTATAACGAAGCATTCAATAATGGGTCAGATTTTGCGACTAATGATTTGGTGCCAGCAAGTTGCGGAGGGCCGCTAGCTAGCATTAAAAAGTCTGCAAAATTTCTTCGCATGCCGTAGTCTATCACTGTTTCAGGCTTCAATGTTGTTGTAAAAACAATAAATTCTGGATTGCAAAAACGCAGCTGGAGACCAAATATATCACCTTCGTTTTTTGGGGGGTCAAGCAGTGTTTTGTTGTAAATATGCAGTAATAGAGGATTTTTCGTGCAAAATTTTTACATGAGCTTTTACTTTCGCATTGTCTTGCGTTGATTGAGGCCTGTCAGGCTTCAATTGTGCAAGAAAATGCAAGCAGCATATGAAATACTGCTTCGTAAGAAATTTTCCAAGTTTTTTGGATAGCTGCTTCGCAATTCTCTGGCACAAAACTATCACAAAATCTGAATTATTCTTGAAAGCTTTGTTCCCAGCGATTAGCTCATAGTATATTGTGCGATGCACCATGAAGAGGAGACCTTTCATTACATTACGGAAAGGAATGAACCTAGGTTCGATGTTCAAAAATTCAATCCCTTACTGTTACGCAATTCGCGCTAACCTAATTTTGTCTCTAAGGCATCTTTTAGACAGCGCCGGTATCCGCCTGCGCCTGCCGGAATCCGTCAAGACCTGCCAAATTGGGGAAACGCAGCTGATTTGCCGTGATTACTTTGACGAATATGTACATTTCACAACGCGTGCAGTAAATCAAATGCTTGAGATGCTAATTTCCGGGCATCCTCTAATTTGGCAGATATCGGCGGGTTCAGGCGGGTACCGGCGAGTACCGGCGCTTATGAACGATCTTATGTTTACGAGGCACGATTTTCTGCACATTTTTGAGAAAAGATGTTATTTTCAGTATATGGAGCAAGAGGAAATGGAGAAATCCGCACTTTATTTGGAACCGGAAGAAGGCGAGAAAGAAGATCCTTTTATTAGTGGATATGAACCTAGTGTTAGTCCGCTCCTGGATGATTTCTCTAACTACGAGTTGGAGGTATTCTAAAGAGTGTCCGTCATAGCGTAGAGATTTTTTACTTACTTGTAGTCTTTTCCTTTAGACTTCATTTGTGACCTCGAATCAACGAACAAATTACTTGTGAGCAGTTAACAAAACACTTTTGGCTTGTGTAGTAGTAGATTTCGAGAGTGCTCAGCTGCTGTAACTATGTCTGCCTCATGTGATGCTACCCATGTTCGACGATTCAGCCGGATCTAAGTCGGTTATAGATTGTTTATAGGACATTGACTTGACTCATTTTAGGAAATGAAGATTTTTATCAAAAGTATTCGACTATCAAAAGGCAAAACATCCGAAGCATTAAGTGCCAAGTAACGCTGTTGTTTATTTCACGAGATTTGTAAAATTCTACTAGTTGCTATAATAGAGGATAGCAACCAAGTTTTGCTTCTTTTTTCGTAACTTTTTCTAATTGGTGAGCTCAAATGGCATAATGTATGCTGTGACAGAATCATGAGATTTTCCAAGTTTTGGCCTTGAACTAGAGTCAAGCAACTGCAAGGAGGGGTCGCAAAGAGGGCACCTGAAGCGGGGGAGGGAGGTCGTAAGAAAGGGGAGTTCGCTTAAGATACCGTAAGCTTAGGAGAAATAGCAAGTAGCAGATATTTAGTACATATTCTCTAGAATAAACTGGCTGAAATCTAGGAATGAGAATGACTAAGATAAAATCTGTAGATATTCTAAATAGATTCTAAAGACAAAAAACCAAGATCTCAAAACACTTTTAAAGGATGTATGATTTGATAAAAATGCTAATAATAATTATATATTTTTTATCCACCAACGTATGATTTTTGGGCGCCCAAAAATCATACGTTGGTGGATAAAAAATATACTTACAATTAGGGAGATAATTATTGGGAGGTCTATTGGCATTTTTTGAGGCGATCTGACATTCATTGAAGGCAGCGTCCCGGCAGATTTTGCATTTCCATCTTTTTGCATGTTTTGGGCCTTCTCGACCCCTAGATCTGAGCCTTAAAAGGGGGTGAATAGGCCTATTTTGGGGCGTTTTTTCATTTTCATCATCTTCCAAAACGCAGCTCGGACGAGAATTTTCGAAGGAAAGTCGGGAGGCCCTGGCACGAAGACCCTGCCGCCTGTAATTTTGGCTTTGTATAGCATGCACAATGCGGGAAAGCGGTTGGGGGGTCCCGCGCCGTCTAGCGGAGAACACTTGTCCGAACAAAGTGTCAGGGGAGCGAAAGGAGGAAGGGGAGCGGAGCTTGGGCAGCTTCCCTAGCTTGCAGAGTTCACATTTTCGGCGCGGAGTTGCTGTTTTGGTTCACTTGGAGGGCCTCCTATCCATCTGTGTCAAAATCTGAGGTAGGTCAATCTGCCGAGCCGCTGCCTTTAAAGGCAGTAGCTCGCCAAACCGAACATCCCGAAATTTTGACATGGAAGGTTGCTTGCATCCCAAACATGAGAACAGAGCAGGTCCGAGCGCATAGCATGCTGCCCTTGCCTAAATCCCGTTACGCGCAAGCCTCTCATGGCGCGGACGAGCTCCCGATTCTTTCTGAACCGTCAGAGAAGGCATGCCGCAATGTTATGACTGGTGCAAGGGTCCCGCAACGATTCTGCCTCTAACCATGGCGGGATGTGCTCCACTCGTCCAAATTCAAAATGGGAGGCCTTGGGTGGAGGACTATATGTCGCCGAAAGTCGGAAAGTCCCGCACGGACAATGTAGCAGATACTCAGCCTGTGCGTGTATTGGAAAGTGTATTTGTTGGAGATGTCCGGCAAGACCTCCCACTTTCGGCGACATATAGTCCCCCACCCGGAGGCCTTGGGAAAATGATGGTTTTTGCCATATTCGCGCCTTCAAGGTAAGTCTTCGGAATCAGCTCCTCGAACTACCCAGGTAAGCAAAAAAACTTGAAGTCGAGAATCCGCCGAGCCGCTGCCTTTATGCAAGTCCGTAAAAGCGTGGAAATGAGGGGCGGGAAGGAGGGGGAGGCCTCGCGGTTGAAGTGGAGGGGGGGTGTAGAGGACTCAGGATCGCATCAAGTTTGACCCTGCTTTGAACCTATAACTTGCTAGATCTAGAATCAGATGAAATTTCGCTCATCTCCATCATTACGCTTGGTTACTCCATGGTTTCATTGAGAACATGATGTAGACCCTCGTGGCTGTTACCTCGTATAATGACAGTGGCAAGGTGAAAGCGTTCCACCGATATCCATTTGCCACCCTCGTGCTTAGCCCTGGCGGAACCCTATAGCAAAAACTCCAGAGCAAGAAGAGTTCAAAGTTTTGCTGCGAGGGAGGGATGCAACAATGAGGCTTTGCTTTCGCCGCGTCTTCTAGAGCTCTATTGCTATGAGAAACTTCTTTTAGAATTTTAGGATTTTAGCGTGCTGCGTTTGTTAGATTTTCTTGATAACATAATTCTTGTGCTGTGATCTGCGGACTCTTCAGCGTGATTTTTGCTACTGAGATCTTTGGTTTGAAGCTAGCGCTCTTCTCTCACAAACTTGGCATGGCAGGGAAGAATTTGGGCTGGGTTTCTGAAAGCGTCTCAATCAATCTTGCGCTGCTCTACCGCAGAATCATCAAGCGAATGACATCATTCGAAGCTCTTCACTCAGGAAAATCCTTAGCTTCAGGCGGAAATGCAACAAACCTTGAAAACACTTTTTTCGTGCTGCAATGGACGGCTTTGAGCGCAAAGCGCTCTATTAGAGGTAGCAGGAGATAGTGCCTTTACTTGTGGAGAAGTAAATAAAACGTATCTCCGCTCCCGAAACTGCTAATGACCACCTGATGAAGAAAAGATTCCTTTGGTTATGCCGTTTATTAACGATGAAGTAAGTAAAGCAATACGGCAATGTTTGAGGAAAACGGGCCTGAGCCATTTTGGTTTCGGTTGTGGACATCCCTCCACATAATCTCAAACATATGCTGGTTCGAAACCGCATATACGATCGAGACTGTACCACTCTGATGCAGCGGTATTACTTTGGGTGGTTCTCAATTATTTTACTGTGTAGATATTGCTCAAAGTTCCTGCTTTGCTTAAAGTGTTTGACTTATTTCAGAAAGTATAAAAATTATCAAACATGTACTAAATGCCCTTACAGACCTTATGGATATGGCTGAGCGGGAATAATATGTCCTAACATCTTTCAAATTGGAGCATCTAATCAATTTCCTTTCTTGAGAAAGCTGCAGTAAATCTCCAAGTGCCCCATTATTTTCCACGTCCACCCTAATGAAAGATTGGGTTTCTCGGCGAATGTATCTGAATCATAGTGCCACGTAGTATATGATCTAATTATGCAGTTATGTGGCTCCAATCAGTTTACTTGAAGGCACCGTCCACCCTAAGTTGAGAGTGTTGAGCTTTGGGCAGCATATAACAGTAGGGCCTCCTATCAAGCCAATGCCCAAGTCGCGGCGCAAAATGCCGCTTTGGAAGCGAGAAAATCGCTTCGGAATAGCGAAAATGCATGAGGGTCCCATCCATGCCCGTCCATTTGTGCAAGCTCACCCAATCACCGTTCTGAAAAGCCGCCTGTGGTTTCTGCGGAATGGGGATTTTCGGGATTTTCGCGGATCCTCGACTTCATATCTGGAATCAGGGACATGAGAAGGCTATAAAACAACAAAAACCTGGAAGTCGAGAATCTGGGTGGAAGGTGCCTTTAAGACGCCCAGATATTCAGGTTTGTCTGTGCCTCTGAGCAGTGATGATGTTATAGGTAGACAGTTGATTGTGCGTGCTAGCATTTTCAAAAGAAATAACATCGATCTCAGGCAGCCATGTAATAGAATAAAACTTGAAAGAAATATGCGATTTCCAAGCGAAAATCACAGCTATGTACTTTTCTATTGCGGGTTTTACAAAAACTATTTATGCATAACATGACGACGTGTACGAGCATGTGTAAGTTGTTCGATGTATTCGTCACAGATAAGATGTTTTTTGCATATACTTTGTTAGTCAACTTAATTCAATATTCATCTTCATCAAAAGAGCATCCCGCGACTATCTAAAATAACTTTTTCAGTTGAGTCATCTCTACAAGACTTATTACTATTACCTCTTCATAGTCTTTTTCTAACGCTGCTAAATCTTCTCGCGCTTCGCAGAATTCACCTTCCTCCATACCTTCGCCCACATACCTGATTTCCTCGCAGTTTTTTTCTTGCAAAAATCGAAGCGTTGGCGCTTACCAGTGAACGAATGCTCTTTTTGCATACATAATGTCAAACTTCTGATTTAGTCTTGACCAGGCCTCTGCTACGGCTGTTGTATTTGCAAGCATGCATACGGCGCGAGGGACGGATGAGATGTCATCACCAGGAACCTGTTCCGGTGGCCGTTGATTAATTCCTATCTATAAATTTTTATAAGATAATGGGACCTCAGTGGCACAATTAAAACGATCTGCTGGTTTATTCTTCCAGTCACAAAATTTCCAGTCCAATATTTCCACACAATTTATATATGTATGTACACTAGGTTTCAAAAATCTATCGCAAATTGACCTACCTTGAAGCCCGTTGGACACCAGCTGACAAATTCAAGTCCCACTCTTGATTTGAGGGACATTATAGCTTTGTTAACGTCTTTTGGTACGACATCACCCCTGAAGGCATATACTATGACAGCACGTAGTTCATTTATGGCTGGAAATCCAACTGTAGACTTCAGTGTAAGACCGTAGTCAAACGCTGATCGGTATCGCTGATCGCTGACGCTAAGAAAGACTTTTTTACTGTGCGAGATGGATCTGAGATAGATTGTATGGCTACCCATAAATGAATGAGCTTAGCAAAGGCTTTATCAGTGATTCTTAATCAGTTTTTACATAAGGAACTCAAAGCCAGCAGCAGGGCATATCTGACGACAAGCATAAGCCCGTAGTAAACCCCTTGCCAGATCAGATGGAATGAACTGAACTCATAATTTTACACTCATCACTCAAAATCACGACCGCCCATCCTCCTATGCTTTAAAAAGGCCACTTAGGGCACTTGATCCAGTCAACTAGCGCGGCTAGTTTGCCGCGCTGCCGTAAAATAAGGATGGTCGGAAGGTCAGTGCTGTAGGTAGTGTGTCAAAGGGGGAAGCTAAAGTACCGTAATTGCTCTTGAGTAAGTTAGGGAAGATGCAAGTGGCATACTATTACGGATGATAGTGCGCTAAAGTACACACTTTCAGGAAGCCTGCGGATGGGAAGAATTGATGAACAGCTGATCACAGCCATAAGAGGAAAAATAATTTCTTATTCATTTTGCGGAGGTTACTTCAGCTTTGGTGAAAATTGCATTGAAAGAGATTTTATCATCTCTACTTACTAAAGCAATTGCGAATTCCATGAAACTTTGTGGTAAACTATTGTAATTTCGTTCCTTTTGTTTTATCTCATGCTTGCTCGGCAAGATCTCTTATAGCGGTCATCGTCGACCATGCGCCATTATCAAAGATGACCGGTCCATGCAGCAACAATTTTGCCGCCGGCTGGTCTTAAACCTTGCCCGTGCCAATTCACTAGAGAGTGTTTTATCCATCTGACCAATCCCGTACAAATGGCAAAGGGATTCGTTCGTTGAAATCGCGCATGTCTACAAAGCGATCTGCATCTAGGTCGATGACTGATGCACGACTGATGCTGATCTGTGGCGCCGTAGCGTGAGCTTAAATTTGCCTTAGCTGACAGGATGAGGAGATTCACTATGAGCCATAAATTGCATTAGCGATCATCTATCTATATATAAAACTCAAAAATTGTCAGTTTGGAGGGTATGTGCGTTATGGAAACGCGCGCCACTCAACCGATTCAGCTGAAACTTTGCACACATATGTTTTCGACCCTTGCGCAGATGATAGGCTACTTTTTGCGGCGATTCGCTGGGTCCTTCTATCGATTTATTGATTTCTAGCACTTAACAGTGAAAATGATTCTTATCATCTGCTATCAAAGCAGAGGCATGTAAACAAGGCCGGCATGTTTCATTGTAGACTTCTGTTGGCGAAGTGCAGTAAAAAGTGCTCTTGATGTGAGTTTCAATGGTTCAACCAAGTGAATACACTCTATATCTTATTCTGCGGTCTACCTTAGGGTGCAAGTGACCAAGAGTGCTTTGTAGTGACTGTGCTGTACAAAGGCGTGTTCAAGATTGTACTCAACGCTTTCTTCGTCATTTATGCTGCGATCAACCTAAGGTGCAAGTGACTAAGAGTGCTTTGTAGCGTGTGTGCTGTACGAAGGCGTGCTCAAGGTTATACTCAATGCTTTCTACGTCACATTTCATTGAACAATGAAACGGTTAAGAGCTTTCACAAGATTGCGCTCAAATTATTTGGCATATCAAAAATTTTCGAAAAGAACTTGAATGCCTGTTCACATAATGTAAAATACTACTTACTTAGTCATAGTCAAGCTTGCCAGAAAGATGTTAAACATCGGAAAACAGCTTCAAATAGTGAGGTGAGCAAAGCGAGTGACCGATCTGCAGCAAAGCAACAAAATGCTCATCATTATAAAAGTCATGCTACTCATCTCTCCTTTGCATGTCAAACCGCAATGCTTAATCTGTAAAGTCCCTGGAGTTGTTTTTTTCCGGTTTCGAAGCGGATGTCCCAGTGTAAGTAATCCATGACATATAAGTGGAGGAAGGGCTCGCAGTGCAGGTGAACATTGGCCCGGGCTGGACCGGGAAAGCCCGACTAGTTCTTGATAAAACTCTTGTTCAGTTGGCATCTTATTATCTTGCTTCTGAAGCGAAAGGATCCCTGTAGAAGCACTGACATGGACGCCTCTTCCCAATAGTTTCAGCCGCAATCTGGACTGCGCATAAGCACACAGTTATGAGTATAGGGTTCCAAGCTTGTGCGTTCTGTTCAAATGCAAACATGTTCTTTGAGAAAAGCTCGTTTTCGACATTTGATCGCTTCAAGCTGCATTGGGAAGGAAAGGAAGATAAGCCCAAGTTAGCGAGAAATACTCTGATCGAAGTTTTGTCCAGACGTTGTCTTCATTCAGGCACCCAAATTTGCCCAAGCATGTGTGCACTTTGCGCATCTTTTGTAGACATACGTCCGCTGTGAATTACCTGTAAAGTAAGCACATTGCCATGTACTTCCCAGCGCTAGTATTGCATCTAATCATCTGATTACAAGGTTCCAGACACATAGCAGTAATGTCACTTATTTTCAGTGACTGCCGGCTCACCTGAGTTAATATAATGATCTCACCTAGAAGAGCAATCACAAATGGCTCACTTTTTCAGCAGGAAGTAGGGGTGCTGCGGCTACTAAGGGGAAGTGAACACGTGGATACGGGACAAGATTTGTGGAGAATTCACTGAGATCGACATTTAATTGTCCACTAAAGCGTATTGAAGCTGTGATCGACGATACTACCTGAGAAAGAATGAATTAGATTAACTAAGTTGAACCTTCCGTTAGACACTACCTGTGATACAATACGATTTAGATTTCTATAGCAAGGCGCTTTCATGCTCAAATTTATACGACAAAGGTCATTTAGTGCATCATTGTCCATTATGAAAGTACAGTCGGATTGATAGAGGCTAGTATGCGTAGTAAGAACAGAGTTGTATGGTTCCACCACCGCCGTTGCTGTCTGTAATCAAAATATCTTCGAAGTTTCGATATGCAATAGATCAATGACATTGGCAATTCGCAATGCAGGTAATATAGTCAAACGCTGTTTGTGCAACATTTACTTCAAAATAGCGCCTTCCTAGTAGGTAATGCTTTTACAGGTATTGACAAGGTTTTAAAGGCATGAACTCTGCTCAGCAAAGAATTTGCGGTACCCAAGAACTTGGCTGAGGCCCTGCGCTACTGCCAAGAATGCCGAAGTAAGCTTCACTAGGACGATCTTACTTGCTCTTTTATGGCGCGTATCCGTTGTACGGCCAACGCAATGCGCAATTCGAAGACGCGCGGATAAGTATCAGAAAATCGCCCGACAAAATACAAGTGGATGTCCCACCAAGTACTCAATAACTGCGATCTGCACTGCGGGTGACCGGATATGCGCCAGGTAATACCTTATAAGTATTTTTCATCCAGCCTCCTATATGGTCACGATCCATAGAATTGCTTTCCTAATCGCTCGGTATGTTTATCCGACATTAGCGAGGTTTTCGACATTCCAACTGATTCCACCATGAAGCAACTGCGTCTGTGATGCTACTGAAGACCAGAGACCGGCTTCACCGTTAGGCAGTGGTCGGGAAGCAGTAATCAACAACTTAGATGATAAAATTAGCTTCATAATTGAGGCGTTCATACGTGGACCATGTTGGCTGCATGTCACTTCCTATTCAAATTCACCTTGGACGACTTTGCACCCGTGTTTATCACGGTCCCGATTTTGAATCGGAACAGTCGAATCCGAGCGTGTTTAAACAACGTTCTGCTTTTCAAAAACTTGCGGACCACTCAGACATTCGTGGTCAAGTCGCGCAAGAGTCCACTCACAATATGAAAATCGCGAAAGAAAAGGTAGTCTTGCGCGAGATCCCGATTTTGTCCCGCCCTTAAGCCGGAACGCTAAAATCGCGTGATATATGCCCAATCTGAGTTCGGGACGAAATCGGGTTCTCGCGCAAGACTACCTTTTTGATCGCAAGACTCTTGCGGGACTTATTAACGAATGTCTGAGTAATTATCGATCAGGCACATGACAGGTGGGTTCGAAGACGTCCTGATAAGTAGCTCCATAACTCTTTCAGGGGTGTTTTGCACAGCTACTTTCGTTGACAGTTTAGCACAGTTCTCATGAGAGAGGATTTAATTTTGGGATGATCGCCGCTAAGCCAGCCTAGTGGACACAAGGTTTGAAGGAAGATGCAAACTGCCAAAAACGACGCTCAATAATGATTGACAATCTGTGATGAACAGACGCTTGCATCAGCTTCAGTTGAAGACTTGTAATGCAAACTAGAAGGATCAATAACGACAATTAGAACAGAAAACGCCATCCACTGTAAGTTACGTGCCTGAAGACAACCATTCGGATACATGCGGATAGAGGACGAAGGTCGTGATATTCACCCGCGCGCACAGCTAGGCCCGAGCTGTAAAGTAGGTAATTCTATATTTGTCAGTTATCCTCGAGGGACCGTCCTTTCGGCGACAAAACGTCCTCTCACGCATACGACGGTAAAGATAAGCGGTATAGTTCTTTTCATTACTTCGATCATGAACATTGACGTTCTGAACATTAATAATTATAGGATTTAGAAATTAATCACCTTTTTGTGATCTCTTCAAAATTAATCGACGAAGATGTGCCGGTTTTTACATGGCCTTTAGGTATACGGAAAACCTAAGCTTCCTGGGCTTATCGTCGCTTCAATGCTAACATCGGAGCTAGAGGTCCTCGGTTTTACATCAAAATTCATGCATCAGTATGAGAAGCAAGTAAGAGGCTATTCTAGTTAATGACTATTCAAAGTAAAAGTGTTTCTCACGCGGGACATGCTAGTCTGCGGATATCCTACTGAGGTGGATCAAATAGATTTTTTATATCATTGTCAGCAAAAGTTATTGCCTGAAAAAGGCGCTGTTGTTACCAACTAGTTCTACATGGGATCAAAACATTATCGATTGCGAAATTTGGAAACGAGACCGCGAGCTTCAAGATACATTTCTGGAAAACGTCAAGTGGAACTGATCTCGTCGACATGCGAATGAGTACCATTATTAACAACATCAGCAATGTTTTTCTGTTCAACACCTCTATGTGTATGTACTCTATCGAGACGGGTACCAAAAATCGTTTTCACCATATCTAGAACATCGTCAACAAGGACAAGAACGGGTCACAGGGAATTGTAATCGGCATTCTCGCTCAAGAGTGTTGCTGGAAAGCGATGAATGAAGACCCTGAGGAAAAAGGATAGCAGTGGTAATTGACGCTGCAGATGCGGGAGCAGTAAGTGCAAGCTCCCGCCAAAACATCGTCCTTGAAATTGTGATATCCGCATTCCAGCCCCTCATGATAAATGCTTTCAAAAGTTAATGAGAGGTCACTAGTGGATTTTACTCAGATCTCTTTGACAGCTATATCTACTTGCCTGCCTGATGTCGCGCCCTATTTCATCAAGATACAGCACTAATACTATAGACAGAGTCGGTACAAACGTTGGTTCAGTATGACGTCTGCGGAAAGACACTACAACTGCTAACAAAGACGATGTCAATCGAATATTGTTCGTCATGGTGCACGTTTGTCAGTGGTAGAACGAATAGTCACCGAATAGTCAAGCTAGATCCTTAATTTGGGAGGCCGTTTGCATGAGCGAACTAGATTCGGAACTGAGCACGACAGCAGCACAACCAATGCTTTTGCTTTTCCAATGCTGATATGAACTGCGTAAAAGCTCTTTCTTTGTTGGTTTCTTTGGATGAAACTTAGACTGCTTACCGTTGGGGACGGGTAGATAGAGAATTCTAGTCTACACTTCTTTTCATATTGCAAGCACAGATTATCCATTATCAATGACTCAAAGCCAGAGCCCGTTCCTCCACCAAGTGAATGAAAAACGAGAAAACCTTGCAAGCTAGAGCAATGCTCAGCAAGACGTCTCACTGTCTCTAGGACATCTTCCAGTTTATCCTAAACGAAAGGTTTGTTTCACTGTTTCTCGTAAATTGTAATCACCCGTCCTATGGTGTAGAATCCCCTGGCAAAGTTATTCGCTGCGTCTTCTTTCCCTATAACCATCTGAGTGGGATGAAACAATCCCCTGTACGGACCAGATCGAACTTGATCTGAATTACTTCTATTTAGGCCAGGAGCACAATTTATCAAAGCCTACCTATAACAGATGGTTCCAGGTCCACAAGAGCAGCCCGTGGGGTATAGCTACCATTACAAGACTCGGCGAAGAAGGTAGATCTTCCAGTGCTAGGATAACCCTCACTTCCCAACTTTCCATCCTGCTGAATTCCGTGCTCCAAACAGAATAGCTCCCAGCATGCGTTTCCAATCTGCACTCCAGCTTGGCCGATATGTATGGAGACAATTTCACGCTGAATTCCGCTGCATTACGTGCTTCCGCACTCGTTCGACCAACCATGGATCCTTGACGACAGTGTGGCTGTAAAGTATAGAACGAGGACGGCTAATGCTGCCGACCTTATGCAAGTAATGAGTTCTTCACTGCTCGACTCAACTTTATATATGTTTTCCGTGCATCATATCACTGTGTATGAGGGAGATCTGCATGATTATCAGTAGTAGAATAACATTTATTTGAGATACGAGATCGAATCGGTTGTGCACATGAGCAAATGACTCAAGTAACAAAATGCCAATTAGTCTGTTAGAACTTTACATTTTCTACTTATTTCCCAAAAAATTTCCTACTCTTCTCTGTTCATTTAGACCAAGCTATGACCAGAGTCAAACATGGGGTTACGCGCGTCCGACCTGGGTGGTCTACAAGGAGCGGGCGGAAGGAGGGAAGAGGGAGAGAGGAGGGAACAGATCCGCTTGAAAGAACCAGGAAACCTAGAAGGAGCAGGAAAAAACGCGGGAAGTAAAAATCAAGCATTTGACTGATAACTGCCAGGTCCTCATCAAACCAACTTGAAAATAAATACCGTAACGAAAAAACACTGTCTAGTGAGCAATTTCATGCCAAAAAACTACATCATCAAATTTTCCGCAAATTTAAAACTTTGAACTCTTGACGTACACTTACAAGGGAATGGTCAGAATTCGAAGTGACCAATCCATACAAGCTGCATATCATTAGATGCAGCATAAAACGCTGACTCTAAATCTGTCTTCCCTATCTGCAGAGCGCTTTTGTGGACGAAATTATAAGCCGTTGAAGGCCATTATTTTGCTAAGAAATTGTGCGTGTAAAGTGCAAACTTGGCCGTACAAAGCCATTCTCGGCTCAGTGTTGGACCAAAACACGCATTTAGGTTACTTCATATGACCAGCACCTAGAGTTGAGCTGTACGAGCAATAATGTGCCTAATTTCGCAATTTTTGTGTACGGTTTTTTTGCAGTAAAGATGCTCATAACTTCGCCTACAAAGGCGCTCTGCAGATACGGAAGATAGATTTGAAATCAGCATTCTATGCTGCATCGATTGGTATGCAGCTTGTATGGATTGGCCACTTCGACTTCTGACCATTCCCTTGTTAGTCAAAGCTCTCATGGAGATCCTACAATGCGAAACGTGCACAATTTTAGACTCAGCATGTTAAACTATCCCGTCCTCACGTGACGTGCGGGCCCCAGTACAGAAGTTGCCATTTATCCCTGTTCCTCGCTTCAGACACCCACGATCTTCTATCTTAGTGAGCTCTAGAAATCGTTACCTGCAACCTTACTTACTTAGATACTTAGATGGCCCGTCCTCACGTGACGTGCGGGCCCCAGTACAGAAGTTGCCATTTATCCCTGTTCCTCGCTTCAGACATCCACGATCTTCTTGGCCGTCATTGGTGGCTGCGTCCACGAGTTCCAGGGGCGAAAGTCGTATCCAGCTGATTTCTCAGCTGGTCCATCCGTTCCACGAACACGTCTGCCCATCTCGTCGGCGATCTTCCTCGGGGACGTTTGGCTTCGCGAGGAATCCTAGTTCTTAGTGTTCATCTGTCGTCTGTTCTTCTCATTATGTGACCGGCCCATCGGTGTTTTGCTTTCGCAACGTATTCCGCTGGGTCACGAAGACGGGACATTCTTCTCATATCCGTGCTGCGAAGTCCGACTAGATGTTGCTTGCGCCGGGTCATCTTCAGAAGACTGCGCTCGAGCGCTCTGTGGGTGGTCCGTAGAGCTTTCGACGTGGCTACAGTGTCGGCCCAAGTCTCAGCTGCGTAACAGAGCGCCGGGAGAACGGTTGAGTCAAACAGGTGGGCACGAAGCTCCGGGTCCGTCAATTGGTCTGTGGCTTCCTTCAGAAGCCCGAAGGCGGCCCAGGCTGCTCTTCTTCTCCTGTTGAGTTCTTCCCTCAAGTCGTTCTCCATGTTCATCGAACGTCCGAGATACACGTAAGAAGACGTCTCCATAATAGGGGTGTCTTCCAATTCCATTACTGCATCTTCGCAAAGGGCGTTCCTCATGAACTGAGTCTTCTTCCGATTTATTCGCAGTCCGATCTTCTTCCCTACTTCGTTCAGTTCCTTCAGCATCGTCTCTGCTTCGTTGATACTGCTCGAGAAGAGAACGATGTCGTTCGCAAAACGAAGGTTGAACAGGAATCTCCCATCAACTCGTATGCCTCTCTCGTCCCAGTCCAGTGACTTCATCACCCACTGCAAGGCCGCGGTGAACAGCTTCGGCGAGATTGTGTCGCCTTGTCGAACCCCCTTCCCGATTGGTATGGTCAGGGGGCGATGGAACAGCTGCATCGTTGTTGTACAGTCCTTGCAGCAGTTGGCTAGTGTCCTCACGTAGGCTGGGTCCACTCCTTGATCGACTAGCGCTGACAGGATGGCGTGGTTTCGACGCTGTCGAAGGCTTTCTCGTAGTCGACGAAGGTTAGGACGAGAGGCAGTCGGTACTCCCGGCAGACTTCTATGACCCTCGAAACGGTCTGGATGTGGTCCATGCAGCTGAATCCTTTGCGAAATCCAGCTTGTTCTTGAGGTTGGGCTTCATCCAGTGTCCTTGATATGCGAGTGAGGATAATCTTCGTGAAAAGCTTGTACAGCACACTCAGCAGGCATATTGGACGATAGTTCCGAAGATCCTCCCGTTCACCCTTCTTGAAGAGAAGGACGGTTCTTGACGTTCTCCACTGGTCGGGAATCTTATCCTTCTGAAGGTAAGATGTCAAATGTGACGCTAGAACCTCGTGTAGACGGTGTCCTCCGGCTCGCAGAAGTTCGACGGATAGATGATCTGGTCGTGGAGCCGTGGACGTCTTCATGGTCTGTATCGCGATACGCACTTCAGCAGGTAGAATTCGTAGTGGTACTTCTCCACGGGAATAACGGGCATCTGCACGGGTGTTGATGAGCGGAAGACGTTGGTATAGAAGTTCTTCGCGATAGATTCCATCTTGTATCGGAAAGAAGTCGGAGACCCGTCTTCGTTCGGTAGTGCAGCCAGCGGTACGTGATATTCGCAGAGGTCCTTCGGCACTTCTTGAGACTTCGTCTTCTTTCGGCTGCTTCCAGTATCTTGGCTTGCCCGTACTTCCTGAGATCCTCTTGCAAAGCTGTTCTGCAACTGGCGTTGGCTATCAGTCGCTCGAGATGGTTGCATTCGGATCCTGCCTCAAAAATCTTCTTCTTTCGAGCAATTCCTTGGTGGTCTTCGAAATGCGTTCCAAGTTCTTCTCAGAAGTCTCTGAGGCGCATTCTCCACGGGCTCGCAATCCTTTCAGAAGCCGGTCGTAGTCGTACGTTGGGTCCTCCTCGATGGGCCAGTCACAACTTGATATGAGCTCTTCAAGCCTGTTACCGTCATAAACGACTTCCTTTCTTCTCGCGGCACTATGACAGACTTTCTTTTCCAGCCTTCGGCTGAGTCGTATCTTCGCTCGAAGGAGGCGGTGATCGGAGCCACTACAGAAGGATGGAACTATAGAGACATCGAGTAAGCTCCACCTTCGGTTGGTGAGAATGTAGTCGATCTCAGCATGAGTCGTTCCGTTGGGCGATTCCCAAGTCCACCGGCGATGTTCTTTACTCATGAAGATGGAGTTTCCATGGTAGAGTCGTGCGGCGGAGAGAAGCCCAACGAGACGGTTGCCGTTTTCGTTTCGGAGCCCATATCCAAACTTCCCGATCCTATATTCCTTTTCTAGTGGCATTCCGATTTTCGCATTGAAGTCGCCCACAACATACTTGTAGAAGGACTTTTCGTTGCGGACGACCTCCTCCACGTCTTCGTAGAAAGCATCTGGTTCTGAGTCGTCAGCTGCTGATGTCGGCGAGTAGCAGTTGATGATGCTGATGGTCTTCTGACGTGGAGGGCGTAGTCGTAGGATGCCTAGTCGAGGTGATAGGATCTCATGCGAATCGACAAGATGGACGATAGATGGATGGACAACAAAGCCGACGCCTCCCAGCCGCTTTCGTGATGGAACCTTTTCACCACGAATGATGAGGGTCCCATCACTCATCTGTCGCACGTCCTTCTTCCTGGACTTCGTTTCCTGCAGAGCGATGATGTGGTAGTTGATGTGCTCTGCAGCGTCGAGAAGAGCGTGAAGGTCGGCGTTTGTGGAGACTGTCCTGGCGTTGTAGGTGCAGAGCATGAGGCAGTCTCCATGGCGTGTCGTCCGGGCAGACGTGTCGTTGTTGTCCAATCCGAAAGGCGCCCTGAGTACCCTGACATCGTTCTTGCTACCACCCGGCGCCGTAGGCGGGATACGATGTGCAGGGTTTCTTTTTAATCTTCTAACTGGAGGAGTAATATGAATTTTCCCCTACAAGAGGTGGCTTACTAGGCCTACTCTTGATTTCCACGGGGTGATCGCTGACCCCGGGCTTGGAGCGGGGAGAGACCGCCTAGCGACCAAAAGAAGCCAGACGGCGGGGGATCTGGCGTGGCCGGTTCTTAGCTAGGCATCCGGCCGAAACCGGAAACGTCGAACTCCTTCACAGCTTGGGAGGCCGTGCTTGAGTATACACTCGGCTGTGCATCGCAGTTCGACACCCAGTGCACCCCCACGCCACGATGAGGCGACCGACCATTGTGGGGGACCTGCAACTTTTAGCCTTCTTAGAATAGAAAAGAGGTCATCTCTAGAAATAGTTAATTTTCTGTTGAAGGTGAAAGAACTCAACCTTTTTACTCTACCCGTATGCACGTACATCTTCGCGGGGATGGGATGTGCGTTTTACCATTGAAATGATCCCCGCTGGGGCTCCATCCCCTCCCCGCGCCAACCTCCGTATGCACAAAGACAACATCGGAGGAGCATCCCCCGGGAACAGAAAAAGTGAACCCCCTTATTCACAAAGGAATCGAGCGGGAAAATCATTTCGCTTCCGCTTTTCTGTGATAATTACTCCTCTGTTCTCATCTTTTGATAGCTATTCGTCTTCATTCTGTCATCGGCAATACTTTAGTTGTTGTGGAATGCGCGTATGCCGTAATTGCGCTTGGCGCAGCGAAAATAATATTTACTAAGCCCATTAGATTCCTGCTGTTTTCATGAATGCTG